TTTTTTCCAACATCTCCAGTCTTGTATTATTTTTACCCATCAGCTCATTTGAAAAAAGGAAAAAAAAATGCTTCCTGTTAGAATTAAATTCCCTCTGGAGATAATGGGTATTTTTTAAATCATTCATTTTTTTATGGTCACATTTGCTCCCAGTTCCTGCCAGGATCCACTAGAGGGCAGACACACCCCTGTGTGTGGCGCTTGCTGAGTGGTAATAGGAACAGTGCCTGCCATCACCCACTAGAGGGCAGACACACCCGGGTGTATTTGTGTGGCGCTTGCTGAGTGGTAATAAGAACAGTGCCTGCCGGCATCCACTTTCAGCATTGTGGGAGGCCAAGGCAGGAGGATCAGGGGTTTGAGACCAGCCTGGGCAACATAACTAGATCCTGTCTCCACAAAAAAATTAAAATAAAAAAAATTAACCAGGCGTGGTAGTGGGCCTGTAGTCTCAGCTACTTGGGAGGCTGAGGCAGGAGGATTGCTTGAACCCAGGAGGCGGAGGTTGCGGTAAGCTGAGATCACGCCACTGCACTACAGCCTGCGAAACTCCGTCTCAAAAAAAAAGAAAATGTATGATGGAAGTGGCTTGGTGGAGGTAGAGACTGGGAATAGAACATATGGCTAGTGTGGTAATCCAGCTAAGTATTGAATTTGGATGGTAGAAGCTCAAGGGGGTTAAAAGGTAGAATTAACATAAGTTTGTGACCAATCAGATGACTTCTAATTTTCTGGCTTGGAGGGTGTTTTATGATTTATATGGGATAATGCAAGTAGCTTCAGTGACTATCTCTCCAATATATTCATTGGAAAGTTCCCTGGGATGAACCCTACCATTTGCTTTTCTTTGTTTGAAACCAAGCTTGCTGCTGGAAAAAAAATCACTTAAGTAGGGTTATTACTTGCTGTTGAAATTCATGATCACAATCACTCAGAACTCAACACTTCCCGGCAATCTTTATTTTTAAATTTTTTATTAAAGAAAAAAATTTTTTGAGACCAAGTCTCACTATGTTGCCCAGGCTGAAGTGCAGTGGCAATTTACAAGCACAATAATAGCTTGCTATAATCTTGAACTCCTGGACTCAAGCAATCCTCCTGCCACTACACCCAGCCATCTTTATTATTATTATACTTTAAGTTCTGCGATACATGTGCAGAACGTGCAGGTTTGTTACATAGGTATACATGTGCCATGGTGGTTGGCTGCACCCATCAACCCGTCATCTACATTAGGTATTTCTCCCAATGCTATCCCTCCCCTAGGCCCCTACCCCCTGACAGGCCCCAATGTGTGATGTTCCCCTCCCTGTGTTCATGTGTTCTCATCGTTCAACTCCCACTTACAAGTGAGAATATGTGGTGTTTGGTTTACTGTTCCTGTGTTAGTTTGCTGAGAATGATGGTTTCCAGCTTCATCCATGTCCCTGCAAAGGACATGAACTCATCCTTTTCATGGCTGCATAGTAGTCCATGGTATATATGTGCCACATCTCCTTTATCCAGTCTATCATTGATGGGCATTTGGGTGGGTTCCAAGTCTTTGCGATTGTGAATAGTGCTGCAATAAACATACGTGTGCATGTGTCTTTATAGTAGAATAATTTATAATCCTTTGGGTATATACCCAGTAACTGGATTGCTGAGTCAAATGGTATTTCTGGTTCTAGATCCTTGAGGAATCGCCACACTGTCTTCCACAATGGTTAAGCTAATTTACACTCCCACCAACAGTGTAAAAGACTTCCTATTTCTCCACATCCTCTCCAGCATCTGTTGTTTGCTGACTTCTTAATGATCGCCATTCTAACTGGCTTGAGATGGTATCTCATTGTGGTTTTGATTGGCATTTCTCTAATGACCAGTGATGATGAGCTTGTTTTTTTCTTATGTTTCTTGGCTGCATAAATGTCTTATTTTGAGAAGTGTCTGTTCATATCCTTCACCCACTTTTTGATGAGTTTTTTTTTTTCTTGTAAATTTGTGTAAGTTCCTTGTAGATTCTGGATATTAGCCCTTTGTCAGATGGATAGATTATAAAAATTTTCTCCCATTCTGTAGGTTGCCTGTTCACGCTGATGATAGTTTCTTTTGCTGTGCAGAAGCTCACTAGTTTAATTAGATCCCATATGTCAATTTTGGCTTTTGTTGCCATTGCTTTTGGTGTTTTAGTCATGAAGTCTTTGCCTATGCCTGTATCCTGAATGGTATTGCCTAGGTTTTCTTCTAGAATTTTTATGGTTTTAGGTCTTACATTTAAGTCCTTAATCCATCTTTTTTTTTTTCTTTTTTTTTTTTTTGAGATGGAGTCTCGCTCTGTCGCCCAGGCTGGAGTTGGAGTGTAGTGGCGCGATCTTGGCTCACTGCAAGCTCTGCCTTCCAGGTTCATGCCATTCTCCCGCCTCAGCCTCCTGAGTAGCTGGCACTACAAGTGCCCGCCATCACAACCAGCTAATTTTGTTTTTGTATTTTTAGTAGAGACAGGGTTTCACTGTGTTAGCCAGGATGGTCTCAATCTCCTGACCCTGTGATCTGCCTGCCTCGGCCTCCCAAAGTGCTGGGATTACAGGCGTGAGCCACCGTGCCCGGCCTTTAATCCATCTTGAGTTAATTTTTGTATAAGGTGTAAGGAAGGGGTCCAGTTTTCTGAACATAGCTAGCCAGTTTTCCCAACACCATTTATTAAATAGGGAATCCTCTCCCTATTGCTTGTTTTTGTCAGGTTTGTCAAAGATCAGATGGTTGTAGATGTGTTTCTGAGGCCTCTGTTCTGTTCCATTGGTCTATACATCTGTTTTGGTACCATTACCAATGCATTTCTTTTTTTTCTTTCTTTCCTTTTTAAAGAGATGGGATCTTGTTCTGTTGCCCAGGCTGCAGTGCGATGGTACAGTCACAGTTCACTGCAGCCTCAAACTCCTGGGCTCAAGCAATCCTCCTGCCTAGGCCTCCCAATTAGGTAGGATTACAGGTGCACCACCATGCATGGCTTCATCGTGTTTTTCATTATTCCACTAATTAAGAATTTTCAATGGCTCCACATTGCTGATACGTTTTTATAAAAGCTACACTTCTTATAGTGTCATGCAAGACCTTTCGTGTTCTAGTTCCTGCCTACTTCTTCAGCCTTTTCTCTCTTTTCTTCCCCATTCTCAAATATCCTACCCTGTAACAATACTAAAATACTATCAACTTCTTAAACAATCACAAGATCGTTCCCTCTGCCTATAATTCCTGCCACCCACTTGCTGGCCAGGCAAACTATGAATTTGTTCAAGGATCACTTCTTATGAAACTTTTCCTGCCTACTCAGGCAAGGTTGAGAAATGGCACTTTCCCTCAGTCAACATTGGATAAAACAGAGCCCCAGGACCTCTATTACAGATATGAGACAGGGACTGTGCATAACGCCCAGGTTGGCATTGATGTTTTGTTACATGTGTAATTATGAACATCTCTGGGTGGCCAATTAGCCTCTGTTGACAAAAAAGATCAAGGACTATGATGGCTACGATGCTAACAGTTATAGGTTTTCAAAGAGAAAAGTTACATGTTTCAATGACACTGCCTTGGCCAATGGCTGTATTTTATTTGCAGCACCCAGAGTGCTATGTTAAAACAAGCATGGTCTTTAGTAAGCCTAGTCCTATGTTATACATTTACTGTTTATGGGAAGTTGCTGACATTTCTGAGCTTCAGTTTCACATCTGTAGTGTGGGGATATCTATTTTACAAGATTATTTTAAAACTTAAAGATAATTGTACATTACAATGCCTATCTTCTCATTTGTTGCCTTTAATTTCTTCATACTTGTGGTTTTATTTTGGCATCCTTTTGCTTCTCAACTGTCCTCTGAGATTCAAGTTAACCATTACCATTTTACAAATTCCAAATTCCAAGGTTTCTGACTCATACATAGACTAGAGTAATAGTAGTAGTAACGCTTAAGCAGGTCCCCCTGGCAATCTTTCTCCACCTTTCTCCTCAACAGTATCAGCTGCCACTATTTCCAGGTATGAAAAGCTCAGAGATATTATTATAATCACTTATTAATTTACTTTTTGAGAGTGTCTCATTCTGTCACCCAGGCTGGGGTGCAATGGCACAATCTTGTCTCACTGCAACCTCCACCTCCCGGGTTCAAGTAATTCTCAGGCCTCGCCACCACATCCGGCTAATTTTGCGTATTTTCAGTAGAGACAGGGTTTCACCATGTTGGCTGGGCCTGTCTTGAACTCCTGGCCTCAAGTGATCTGCCCGCCTCAGCCTCCCAAAGTGCTGGGATTACAAGCATGAGCCACCCGACTGGCCATATATTATTATTATTATTATCATATTTTAGATAGGGTCTCGCAATGTTGCCCAAGTTGGACTCAAGCAATCTTCCCGAATACCTGGGACTACATGCAGGCACTACAGCACCCCGCCTTAAATAGCTACAAAATATACCTTCCTGTAACAGTTCTGATAAATATCTTTACTTCGTTTATTTTCCTTTTTTCAGATGCAGTCTCCCAGGCTGGAGTGCACCAGCATGATCTTGGTTCACTGCAACCTCCACCTCACTGCAACCTCTGCCTCTGAGGCATGAGGTTCATTCAGGCGATCTTCCCAACTCAGCCTCCCGAGTAGCTGGGATTACAAGCCTGCACCAACATGCCCAGCTAATTTTTTTTTTTTTGTATTAGTAGAGACAGGGTTTTACCACCTTGGCCAGGCTGGTCTTGAACTCCTGACCTCAAGTGATCCGCCCGCCTTGGCCTCCCAAAGTGTTGGGATTACAGGCGTGAACCACCGCACCCGGCCTCTTTGACTTTGCTTAAATGTCCACTTTTAGTAGTAAAATCCCAGAAAATGTTTGTGGGAGTATGTTTAACTAAAAAGCTCATATTTCCTTTTATTTTTGGGCAATTCTTAAGGTAAGCAAACTAATGTTGCATGATAAACCCCCATCAAGTATCTCACACTTAAGCAAAGACCTCAAATCATAGTCTGTGGCTTTATTGCAGCTTTCCTTCAAAATATCATGTGTCTGAGGAAATCCCTATCTTCCTATCAGACTAAAGAAACGACAGGACAGCGATTACACTTTTAAGTATTGGAGGGTTTAGAGCCCTAGATATTCTATATGCAGACTATTCATGTTTGTTTGTTTTAATAAACACTGGTCCAAAGGCTCATTTTCACAGTAGCTACAGTTTTTCAGTTCCAGAACCAGGTAAAGAAGGGCAGCCCCGTGATCCATAAAATCCGAGGATGACGACTCAGGGTTAGGACCATTTCTTGGTGACATTGAGATGGTCGAGCTGGTCCGCAATGAATCTATGCGGGGGGAACTTGGAGGTGGCGGCCGCCTTTAAGGCCTCGAAGGCCTCCCTCCTGCGCACCGCGGCGTGGCCGCGCTCCTGCTCCCGGGTCATGTAGGGCATGCTCAGCCAGTAGTGGTTCTCCGCCTCGATCTCCAGGCGGCGGATCATGTTCTGCTTGGCGCGCAACGACACGAACCGCGGCCGCCGGTGCTTCCCGATCCACTGACGGCCGGGAATGCGGTTGCGGCAGAGGAGCGCAGTCAGGAACATGGTGCCTGCGGAAGAGAGGGACGGGCTTTGTGGACGCGAACTGGCGCGGCCTGACCTGGAGAGAGCAGCGGGCGCGCGCTCCAGCTCACGCCTACGGGAGTTCCCGCACCGCCTCCCCTCCAGAGAAGCGGGGAGCCCAGCTAAGGCCAGCAGGCGAACAAGGCGCTTCCTACAGGACTGAATTCGCACAGGTACTCACCGGTCGGTTCCTCAGGACTCCGCGGCTGCCGGCAGACGCTGCGGCGTAAGCGCACCTGTCTCGCGGGGTCTCCTGGCGCCTCGGCGAGAGACTTCAGCTCTCGCGAGAGAGGACTGCGTCTGCGCAGAGCCGAGGACGCGTCCGGCGCCGATTCAAACTAGTGGCGGGAGGCTGTGAGCTGAGGGTTGTTGTCCGCGTACGCCTGGAGTCCTTCCCGGGTGTGCTCAGCATGGACCCTATCCGGAGCTTCTGTGGGAAGCTGCGGTCTCTGGCCAGCACGCTGGACTGCGAGACGGCCCGGCTGCAGCGAGCGCTGGACGGAGAGGAAAGCGGTGCGTGAGGCGGGCTGCCAGGGCCCGGTGCGCGGGGTGCGCCGCGGGAGGAGGGGCGTGGCGAGTGGAGGGTGCGGCCCGCGGAAACCGCCAGGCACTGACTGCGTGGACGGCCGCCTCCAAGGCGCGGAGTGGGTGCTGAGTGTCTCCATGCTCGGCGTTTGGCGTTAGCGTAGCTCCCGGGCCTGTTTATGGTTTATTCCTAGGAACTCTTATCGCGTGTCCCTTTTAGTCCCATGTACAACCCCAAGGCTCTCCTGAGATAATGAAAGTGGCACTATTTATGTTGTGAACAGAGACAGCAGCGCTTAAGAGTAAGAACCTAAGTTGACAGTTTGAGCTCATAATACATATACTAATTTATACGTGATATGCTTTCGTCACATACATGTGCTTGTCAATAAAATACCATGTAAACCTAAACAGATTATCTTAGAATCAAGCTATTTAACGTTGTTCTATACACGATACTTTACACATATAGTGACTTTTTTCTCACCCAGGTGGTCAACAGTTGCAGTAAACCTCTGTGTTTTTCCCACTAAACCGTATTACCAACACAAACACTAGTACTCGACAGTGCTGGGGTTTTAAAAAAATGTGTATAAATAAAGCAAAATTCACCATTCCCCTTTTTATTGGAGATTTTTTAAATTGTTGAAAAAGTAGTTCAGATTTTGGAATTATTTCATAAATGTCATAATTGTAATGTGCTTTAAAATATTACACCCTGCAGACTTTTACTTTAATTATGTAATGAATGATCTCCAGTCACTTGAAAATGCCTATTTCTGCCGGGCACGGTGGCTCACGCCTGTAATCCCAGCACTTTGGGAGGCCGAGGCGGGCGGATCACGAGGTCAGGAGATCGAGACCATCCTGGCTGACACGGTGAAACCCCGCCTCTACTGAAAACACAAAAAAAATTAGCCCCCAGCTACTCGGGAGGCTGAGGCAGGAGAATGGCGGGAACCCGGGAGGCGGAGCTTGCAGTGAGCCGAGATCGCACCACTCCACTCCAGCCTGGGCGACAGAGCGAGACTCTGTCTCAAAAAAAAAAAAGGAAAAAGAAAAAAATGTCTATTTCTGTGACTGTAAAATCAACATATGTGCATTGTAGGAAATTTAAGCTATGGAAAAGTAGAAAGAAAATAAATACCCCGTATCCATGGGTCATGCCACACCACTATTAATATTTTAGTAGCTTTTCTACCATTCTTATTTTAGGGCTTTTTTGTTTTTATTTGATTTTGTGATAGTACTATAATAGACACAAAATTGCATTGACATTTTTGGATGCTTTTTCTTTTTTTTTTTTTTTTTCCCTGAGATGGAGTCTCGCTGTTGCCCAGGCTAGAGTACAGTGGCGCGATCTCGACTCCTCCAACTTCCACCTCCCAGGTTCAAGCGATTCTCCTGCGTCAGCCTCCCAAGTAGCTAGGATTACTGACTCACGCCACCACGCCCAGCTAATTTTTGTGTTTTTAGTAGATATAGGGTTTGACCATGTTGGCCAGGCTGGTCTGAAACTCCTGACCTCAAGTGATCCGCTTCGGCCTCCCAAAGTGCTGGGATTACAGATGTGAGCCACCGGGCCCAGCCTGGAGATTTTATATATATATAAAATATACATATATATATATAATCTATATATAAAATGTATAGAATCTCCATTTTAATATATTTTATATATGTATATTATATTTTTATATATATTATATATATTTATATATTTTATATATTTATTTTATATATAATATATATTTTTATATATTTGTATGTTTATATATCACATATATTTACATGTATTTATATAAGATAGCTATATAATATATATTTTTATGTATTTATATATTTTACATATATTTTGCATATATTTTTATATATTTTTATATATATTTATATTTGTTTATTTTTATGTATATTTATATACATTTTATATATATATAAAATTTCTCATATATATATGTGAGAGAGACTTTCCATAAAGCTCATCCTAATTTATTTTCCTACCGACATATTGACTCTGCATAATCTGCATTTTCTTCTGTGTTTACAAGGAAAACTTGGAATAATCATTCAATTCCTGTCCCATATGCGTTATAGAAAATGTGGAATTGTAATTAGAGACAATGGTCACAAACAATCTCGCCTTTTATGATCACAATGATGAATAATTCAGTTGGTTGACTTCTAAATATCTTTGAGATATAATTCACATACCATAAAACCATTTAAAGGATACAATTTAGTGGTTATTAAGATATTCAGAGTTGTGCAATTATCACAACAAAAAGTTTAGATTTTCATCACTCCTAGAAGAGATCCCTGTGCCCCTTAACGGTCACTCCCCTTTACCCCATCCACCACACCAGCTTTAAGCAACCATGAATCCACTTTCTGTCTCTATAGATTTGTCTATTCTGGACATTTCATATAAATGGAATTATAGAATTTATAGTCTTGTGACTAACTTATTTCACTTAGTGTAATGTCTCAGTGTTTCTCTATGTAGTCGCATGTGTCATCACTTCATTCCATTTTATTGCTGAGTATATTCCATTGTATGGTCCTACTACATTTTCGTTATTCACTAGCTGATAGACATTTGAGTTGTTTCTACTTTTTGGCTATTATGAATAATGCTACTGTAAATATTCACATGTAAGTTTTTGTGTTAATGTGTTTTTAATTCTCTTGAGCATATATCTAGAGGTGAAATTGCTAGGTCATATAGTTTAACTTCTTGAGGACTTGCCAGATTTGTTTTTCCAAAGTGTCTGCATCATTTTACATTTGCACTAGCAATGAATAAGGGTTGCAATTTCTCCACACCCTCACCAATGTTTATTATTATCTTTTTTGCTGTACTTATTCTAGTGAGTATGAAGTGGAATCTCATTGTGGTTTTGACTTGCATTTCCCTAATGAAAACTGGTCAACTTTTAACAGGTGGAAGAAGAAGGAGACCTTCAAGGGAGATGTGTTTTAGAAAAGGGAAATATAATTATTTTACTACTTTTAGGCCTGGTGTGGTGGCTCAGGCCTGTAATCCCAGCACTTTGCGGGGCTGAGGTGGGCAGATCACTTGAGGCCAGAAGTTTGAGACTAGCCTGGCCAACATGGCAAAGTCCCGTCTCTACTAAAAATACAAAAATTAGCCGGGTGTGGTGGTACACACCTGTAATCCCAGCTACTGGGTGGGGGCAGTGCTAAGGCACGAGAATCACTTGAACCTGGGAGGCGGCAGTTGCAGTGAGCTGAGATGAGGGCACTGCACTCCAGCCTGGGTGACAGTGAGACTCTGTCTCAAAAAAGAAACAAAAAATAACTCCACTTCTTTTAAATTAGCTGGGTGGGGTGGTGCATGCCTGTAGTCCCCAGCTACTTGGGAATCTGAGGTGCGAGGATTGCTTGAGTCCAGGAAGTCAAGGCTGCAGTGAGCCATGACTGCACCGCTGTACTCCAGCTTGGGTGACAGAGTGAGAACCTGTCTCAAAAAAGTTAAACGAGGCCGGGCGCGGTGGCTCAAGCCTGTAATCCCAGCACTTTGGGAGGCCGAGACGGGCGGATCACGAGGTGAGGAGATCGAGACCATCCTGGCTAACACGGTGAAACCCCGTCTCTACTAAAAATACAAGAAAATTAGCCGGGCGAGGTGGCGGGCGCCTGTAGTCCCAGCTACTCGGGAGGCTGAGGCAGGAGAATGGCGTGAACCTGGGAGGCGGAGCTTGCAGTGAGCCGAGATCGCGCCACTGCACTCCAGCCTGGGGCACAGAGCAAGACTCCGTCTCAAAAAAAAAAAAAAAAAAAAGTTAAACGAAAAAACTACTTTTACATCATATGTAACACCCACTGATTAATGACAAAGGTGACATGCAGTGGGTAAAGGATGCCTTTTCAGTAAGTTGTGCCAGGTCAATTGAATATCCATATGGAGAAAAAGAGTGGATCTTGATTCTTATGACATGCTGTATACAGAAATCAATTCCAGATGGGTGTAGCTCTAAATGCAAAAGTTAAAACCATAAAGCTCTTACAAGAAAATGTGAGAGAGACACATATCTTGTCATTGGCAAATATTTAAAAAATAGAAACCAAAAAGTGCTTGTCATAAGGGAAAAAATGGATAAGTAGGACTGCCTTAAAATTAGAAGATTTGGGCCGGGCGCAGTGGCTCACGCCTGTAATCCCAACACTTTGGGAGGCCAAGACGGGCGGATCGCAAGGTCAGGAGATCGAGACCATCCTGGCTGACACGGTGAAACCCCGTCTCTACTAAAAATACAAAAAATTAGCCGGGCATGGTGGTGGACGCCTGTAGTCCCAGCTACTCGGGAGGCTGAGGTAGGAGAATGGCATGAACCTGGGAGGCGGAGCTTGCAGTGAGCCGAGATCATGCTACTGCACTCCAGCCTCCTCGACAGAGCAAGACACCGTCCCAGAAAAAAATAAAAGATTCGGCTGTGCACAGTGGCTCACACCTGTAATCCCAGCATTTTGGGAGGCCGAGGTGGGTGGATCACCCGAGGTTAGGAGTTCAAGACCAGCCTAGCCAACGTAGTGAAACCTCGTCTTTACTAAAAATTAACTGGGCATAGTAGTGGGCGCCTGTAATCCCAGCTACTCAAGAGGCTGAGGTGGGAGAATCACTTGAACCCCAGAGGTGGAGGTTGCAGTGACCTGAGATCAGCTACTGCACTCCAGCCTGAGCAACAGAGTGAGACTCCATCTCAGAAAAAAAAAAAAAAAAAAAAAATTATCTTCAGATGGCCATTAGGAATGTGAAAAGACATTAATTTCATTAGTAATCAAGGAAATGAAAATTAAGTCTCAATGTAGTATAGTTGCATACCCACCAGCATAGCTAAAATGAAAAAGAGAAAATTACCAAGTGTTTGGAAAGATGTGGAACAAATGCACTTCTTATGCACTGCTGGTGGGAGTGCAAACTGTAAAAATCACGTTGGAAAACTAGCAGTATTTACTGAAGTTGAACATATGCGTAACATGTAATCCAGCACTTTTTCTAAGTCTCTTAACATACAGAAATATGAATACATTGATACCAAAGACATGTTCTAGAAAGTTCAAAGCAAGAGTATTCATAATAGTTCCAAACTAGGCACAATCCAAAGTGTTTCAACAGTAGAATAAATAAATCTGGTATCATGCAGTGGAAATACTACACAGTAATGAACATGGATTAGATTTGAACTTGGAGGAATGCAACAGTTGAGTGAAAGAAGCCAGTCGCAAAAGGGTGCGTATTGTATGAGTCCATTACATCAAATTCGTAAGTGGTAAAACTGCTTCGTGGTGTTAGAAATCAGGGTAAGGTGGCCGGGTGCGGTGGCTCACACCTATAATCCTAGCACTTTGGGAGGCCGAGGTGGGTGGATCACTTGAGGTCAGGAGTTCAAGACCAGCCTGACCAACATGGTGAGACCCTGTCTCTACTAAAAATGTAAAACTAGCCGACGTGGTGGCGCACACCTGTAGTCCCAGCTTCTTGGGAGACTGAGGCAGGAGAATAGCCTGGACCCAGGAGGTAAAGGTTGCAGTGAGCCAAGATTGCACCATTGCACTCCAGCCTGGGCAACAAGAGCAAAACTCTGTCTCAAAAAAAGAAAAAGAAATCAGGGTAAAGTTTACCCTTGTGGGGAAGGGAGAGGCTATAAGAGGGCTTCTAGAGTTCTAATAAGGCTCTGTTTCTACTTCTGTTTCTTGAGCTGAGGGCCAGTTATGCAGGTATGCTCATTTGATAAAGTTCATTAAGCTACGTACTTAGGATTTGTATGCTTTTCAGTGTGTATGTTATACAGTCATGTTACTTAATGGGGATGCGTTCTGAGCAATGTTAGGCAATTTTGTTATTGTGCAAACATCATAGAGCATATGTAACACAAACTTACATGATATGACCTACTGCACACCTAGGCTATATGGTGTAGCCTGTTGTTCCCAGACCACAAACCTGTATAGCATGCGACTGCATTGAATACTGTAGGCAACTGTAAGATTATGGTAAGTATTTGTGTATCTAAACATATAAAAGGTACAGTAAAAAATATGGTATTATGGTACCACTGTCATATGTGATCTGTCTTTGAGCAAAATGTCATTATAAGGTATATGATTGTATACTAACTATACTTTTTCTTCCTCCTTTTCCTTACACTTATTGGACTTTTTTTCTTTCAATATTCATATTGAAGACTTTGAAGATTATCCAATGAGAATTTTATATGACCTTCATTCAGAAGTTCAGACTCTAAAGGTATCACTCCTACAATATTAATTTATGATTTTTCTGTGACGAGTAATTTTTTTGTCCTAAATAGATTTAGTCAGAAGTCAGAGAAATTAAAATGTATTTTCTTTATTCATAAAAGGATGATGTTAATATTCTTCTTGATAAAGCAAGATTGGAAAATCAAGAAGGCATTGATTTCATAAAGGCAACAAAAGTACTAATGGAAAAAAATTCAATGGATATTATGAAAATAAGAGAGTATTTCCAGAAGTATGGATATAGTCCACGTGGCAAGAAAAATTCAGGTTTGAATAACTTCATTTTATAGCATTTGTTTTAGTATTGAAGAAACAAGGCAGCCTGATTAACTAAAACAACTGTAGGCTTGGCCATGGTTTTTAATTCTAGCTCTGTCATTATCTGATGCTTATTTGATAAACATTTAGTCAACTCTCACTGTGTGGTATGCTTTTGGAGTGCTAATCAGGGGTGCAATATAAAGACAGTCCTTGCTTTCCTTTCCAGAATGCCAAATGAAAGCTAGCACAATGCTATATTTAGCACATTTAGGCTAGATGGCCTATTAGATGGAAAACTACAAGATAAATCTTCGTAACTTGGGATAGGTGGTTTCTAGTTAGCCCTGCCAATAAAAGCTGAGAGACCTCAAGGCATGTTATTTCATTTTTCTTGTTCACAGTTTTCTCTTCTGTAGAAAGAGATATTGGCTATAAAAATTTGACAAAGTCATTTTTTGGTTCTAAAATTTTAATGAAGGGCAGTCTATCATAGTGGTTTAGAATTTGGAGCCAAAATGCCTGAGTTCAAATCTGTATTCCACCGCTTAATAGCTGTATTATTATCTTTGTCAAGTTACTTAATCTTGTGCCTTAGCTTCTCATTTGTAAAGTGGGAATATTTAGTGTATCTATCTCATGATATTGTATAAGGATTAAATAAGATAAAGTTTGCTTAGAGCAGTGCCTAGCATGTCAGTCACCCAAGGTTAATTATTAACTGCCATTGTTATGCCCATACCTCTGAATGACTAACTTCAGTGTCTTCATTTCTATTATTAAATTGAACAAGGTTTTTTTTTTGGTTTTTTTTTTTTTTTTTGAGACGGAGTCTCGCTCTGTCGCCCAAGCTGGAGTGCAGTGACTGGATCTCAGCTCACTGCAAGCTCCGCCTCCCGGGTTTACACCATTCTCCTGCCTCAGCCTCCCGAGTAGCTGGGACTACAGGTGCCCACCACCTCGCCCGGCTAGTGTTTTTTTTGTATTTTTTAGTAGAGACGGGGTTTCACCGTGTAGGTCAGGATGGTCTCGATCTCCTGACCTCGTGATCCGCCCATCTCGGCCTCCCAAAGTGCTGGAATTACAGGCTTGAGCCACCGCGCCCGGCTGAACAAGTATATATTGAGGATGTGTATGGCAGGTAAGTTAAACAGTCCATGTGAGACGGGCACAGTGGCTCATGCCTGTTATTCCAGCACTGTGGGAGACTGAGGCAGGAGGATCACTTGAGGCCAGGGCTACATAATGAGACTCTTGTCTCTACAAAAAATTGTTTTACAAAATTAGTTGGGCATGATGGTGCATACTTGGAGTCCTAGTTATTTGGGAGGCTGAGGCAGAAGGGATCCCTTAAGCCCAGGAGTTCAAGGCCGCAGTAAGCTACTATCACGCCACTATACTCCAACCTGCATGACAGAGTGAGACCCTGTCTCAATAAATAAAATACACACATACATACATACATACATACATACCTACATACATACAAACAACCCATACCACCACCACCCCCCCCACATGGTATCATAGAATTTAGTTGACTTTGGTGTGAAAGAGCCATAGAGTCAAATACTGGCTCCACCAGTTATTACATGTGTGACCTTGGGTAATTTCTGTAAGTTGCTTTTTCCTCACTTATAAGATGGGGATAATAATATGTCCCTATGGAATACTGATAATGATGATTTATTACTCTCTTAAATGACAGTCCTGTGATAAATACATCAGTAGGTTTTTAGCAACTCTTGTAACATTTCTCAAAATTTACAGAAAGCATAATGCCAAAACAACTCAGTGACTCAGAATCTCTTCAAGGGAACAAAAACTATGAAATCAAAATATGAAACTTCAGAGATTTAAACTCAAGGCTTTTAAAAACAAACAAGAAAGTATATAACCGGCCAGGCACTGTGGTTCATGCCTGTAATCCCAGCACTTTGGGAGGCCAAGGCGGGCAGATCACCTGAGGTCAGGAGTTCGAGACCATCCTGGCCAACATGGTGAGACCCTGTCTCTACTAAAAATACAAAAATTAGCTGGGTGTGGTGGTGTGTGCCTGTAATCCCAGCTACTCCTTAGGCTCATGTAGGAGAATTGTTTGAACCCAGGAGGCAAAGGTTGCAGTGAGCTGAGATTGCACCACCACACTCCAGCCTGGGTGACAGAGCAAGACTCCATCTCAGAAAAATAAAAGTATATAACCTATTAATGGTTGAGAAACTGTATATCTTTGAAATGCTCCCCTATTATTTTTCTCAACTAGGTGTTTGATATAGGTGTTCCAGACTAACTTAGGATAAAAACTTATCTTTATATAGCAGTCTTTGCTGTTTAGCTTGGGCATCTGGAAGTGATGAATCTAAAATAATATCATATTCTATGTTAAATATGGAACACAGTTGATTCCATACTGTCATGAAATTTTAAATTATAGTTTCAGGCCAGGTGCAGTGGCTCACGCCTGTAATCCCAACACTTTGGGAGGCTGAGGCGGGTGGATCACTTGAGCCCAGGAGTTCAAGACCAGCCTGGGCAACATGGCGAAACCCTATCTCTACAAAAAGTACAAAAAATTATCTGGGCATGGTGGCACACGCCCGTAGTACCAGCTGCCTGGGAGGCTGAGGTAGGAGAATCACCTGAGCCCAGTGTTGTGTGTGCAACTAGCTGGGGCTAGTGTCACTGGTGGTAAAGGAATTTACCAAGACAGTGGTAGGTAGAGAAAGGCAGATTTATTAAAGTATGAAAATACATTGCAAGGTTGCAGTGGGCAGTACAGCAGAGAAGAGGCTGTCTGCAAAGAGGCAGAGGCTGAAGGGAAGTTTTATAGGGTCATGCTGGAGGCGGGCTAGGTACAGAGCAGGGTTGTTGTGACCAGGCATGGTGGCTCACATGTGTAATCCCAGCACATTGGGAGGCCGAGATGGGCGGATCACTTGAGCTCAGGAGTTCTAGACCAGTCTGGTCAACATGGTGAAACCCTGTCTCTACCAAAAATACAAAAAATTAGCTGGGCATGATGGTGCATGCCTGTAGTCCCAGCTTTGGAAGTTGAGACTGCAGTGAGCCGAGATTGCCCCTGCACTCCAGCCTGGGGGACAAAGTGAGACCCTGACTCAAAAATTTAAAAAAAAAAAAAAAGTACCTGTAGGTTGTTTGTGATTAGCCTTTTCTCAGAACAATTGTTCATTGTTCTCCCCAACCTGGGTCCCTCCCCCATTGTTGCCTACATCCGGATCTGTGATAGTGCCACTGCACTCCAGCCTGGGCAACAGTCAAAGCTGCAGAAAATATATTCTGATGCTCACTAAAGTATGAGAGAAAAAAAAGAAAATATTAAGAAAAACTAGTAAATCACATTAAGGATATAAGAAAATTGGACTTTTATTTGTGAATATTAATTTTTCATCTTGTAACACTTTAACTTGCTTTCCTCCTCTAATGTATAATCACAATGGGATATGGGTGCACAAGAGATACATGTCGGAACTTTATTAAAGGGACAATTGAAATAGCATTTCAGCTGAGTGTGGTGGCTCATGCCTGAAATGCCATCATTCTGGGGGCCAAGGCAGGAGGATCATTTGAGCCCAGGAGTTTGACACCAGCCTGGGCAACATAATAAGACCCCATCTCCACAAAAAATTTAAAACTTAGCTGAGCATGATGGCACACCTACAGTCCCAGCTACCCCAGGGGCTGAGATGGGACGATCACTTGAGCCCAGGAGGTCAAGTCTGCAGTGAGCTGTGATCACACCTCTGTACTCCAGCCTGGGTGGCAGAGCGAGACCCTGTCTCAATAAATAATAAATAAATATGTTTAGACAATCGGAACTTTTGCTGATTTGGGAAATTTCAGATAAGCTGTTTTCTGTTGTTTTTGTAAACATGAAATTTTCTGTTTTGATGTTTGACCAGAATATTCTGATTTTTCCTCCTAGTACACGAGCAAGAAGCCATTAGCTCTGACCCAGAGTTGTCTAATTGTGAAAATGTTCAGAAGCCTGATGTGAAAGATGATCTTTCTGATCCTCCTGTTGCAAGTAGTTGTATTTCTGAGAAGTCTCCACGTAGCCCACAACTTTCAGATTTTGGACTTGAGCGGTACATGGTATCCCAAGTTCCACCAAACCCTCCACAGGCAGTGAACAACTATAAGGAAGAGCTTGTAATTGTAACTCCACCTAGCAAGCCATCACTAGTAAAAGTACTAAAAACTCCAAAATGTGCACTAAAAATGGATGATTTTGAGTGTGTAACTCCTAAATTAGAACACTTTGGTATCTCTGAATATACTATGTGTTTAAATGAAGATTACACAATGGGACTTAAAAATGTGAGGAATAATAAACGGTAAGCAGCTCTGTTAAAAGGCAATTTTCTCTAGCTTTCTAAACCTTTTGTATTTATTGATTTTTTTCCAGAAGAAATATAATGTTTCAGACAACATTTTTCCTTTAAAAAGTTTTCAGATATTTATTTATTTTATTTCAGTAGGTTTTAGGGGAACAGGTGGTGTTTGGTTACATCAATAAGTTCTTTAGTGGTAAGGTTTTCAGATACTTTATATTACAGATCTTCTCGAATCACCAATACTGTCAATAAAGTGTGAGCCATTGGTTTCTTCAGGTGAGAGACTATAGAAGAAGTGATAAGGGCCTGAAAAAAAGATGGTATTTGTAGGGATAGAAAAGAGGGAATAAAATTAAAGGGGTAAAATTAGTAAGAACTTGTGATTGATTTGCTCTGGAGACTTGGGGAAAGAGGATGATCTAGGATAAACCCCGAGTTTCTGTTTTCTTGCTTGGGATGATAGAGAGAACAGGAGAAGAATACCTGGAGTACAGGGGGTAGGTGATGTGTTTACATGTTGATTTTGACATTGTTAGTGCCTCTTCATGCTTAGGCATTCTAATATCAGTTTAAAGCTCAGTGAAGAAGTCAGTGCTGAACTAGATTTGGGAGCCATTAGCATGGAAATGGTGATTAAAACCGTGAGAGTTACAATGAAAATACCACTTATCAAAGTAGCCAAGCAGTGTCTAAAGATCAATACTTATCATTAAAAACTTACTATTAAAGAAAGAAAATAAACATTCATGTCAAAGAGTCAGAAAACCCCACAACTCTGGGGAAAAGAAGAAACACTAAAGATAACATAAAATTCTAATCCAAAAGATTTTTAAAAGAGTTGAATTGATAAACCTAAGAACTGGTCCTTATCTAAACATAAATACAAATAACAGAACTAAGAACTAAGGACTGTGTTGTGTGTTTTGTTTTCTTTTGTTTTGTTTTGTTTTTGAGATGGTCTTGTTCTGTCGCCCAGGCTGGAGTGCAATGGCTCAATCTCAGCTCACTGCAACCTCCACCACTGGGTTCAAGTGATTCTTGTGCCTCAGCCACCTAAGTAGCTGGAAGTGCAGGGGCACGCCACCACATTTGGCTAATTTTTGTATTTTTAGTAGAGACAGGGTTTCACCATGTTGGCTGGTCTTGAACTCCTGGCCTCAAGTGATCCACCTGCCTCGGCCTCCCAAAGTGCTGGGTTTACAGGCGTGAGCCACTGCCTGGCCTATGTTTTTATTTTTCTAAGCTATCAGAAAATATCATACGGTATAGTATTGGGAAATTTGAAAATTTCAGATAAAGTTTTGGAAAATAATACAAAGTGATAAAAATTGACTTGAAGTAGAAAACCTGGGTAGAGCAGTAATCAGAGAAGAAAACTGAAAAAGTTATCAGATAACAGGACAGGCACAGTGGATCACTTGAGGTTAGGAGTTCAAGACCAGCCTGGCCAATAGGATGAAACCCTGTCTGTATTAAAAATACAAAAAAATAGCTGGGTTTGGTGGTGGGCACCTGTAATCCCAACTACTTGGAAGGCTGAAGCAGGAGAATTGTTTGAACCCAGGAGGTGGAGGTTGCAGTAAGCTGAGATCAAGCCACTGCACTTCAGCCTAGACAACAAGAGCAAAACTGTCTCCAAAAAAAAAAAAAGTTATCAGATAACAAGCTCCAAAAAGCTCTGAGCATGGATGGTGTTCTGGATGAATCCTTTCTAATGTTATGTCATGTCATGTCATGCTGTTGTCATTGTTTTGAGATAAGGTCTCGCTCTGTTCCCAGGCTGGAGTGCACTGGGGCAATCTCAGCTCACTGCAACCTCCACCTCCTGAGTTCAAGTGATTCTCGAGCCTCAGCCACCCGAGTAGCTGGGACTACAGGCATGAGCCACCACGCCTGGCTAATTTTTCTATTTTTAGTAGAGATGGGGTTTTGCCATGTTGCCCAGGCTGCTCTTGAACTCCTGGCCTCAAGTAATCCACCTGCCTCAGCTTCCCAGAGTGCTGGGATTATAGGTGTGAGCTACTATGCCCAGCCTAACATCATTCTTGATGCTCTGGCCAGTGTAATGAGATAGGAAATAAGAAATATTTCTGTGTTGCACTTCTAGGCCATTTTGTACCTAGGCAACTCAAGAAAATCACATGAAAAACTTACAGAAATAATAGAATTCAAGTAAGAGGCTGATAGAAGATATATATTTTATATAGTTACATAGGCAACTTTTTCTTTTCTTTTCTTTCTTTCTACAGGTTCTTAGTCTGTCACCCAGGTTGGAGTGCAGAAGCATCGCCATAGCTCACTGCAGCTTCGACTTCCTAGATTCAAGCAGTCCTCCTGCCTCAGCTTCCCAAGTAGTAGGTGGGGCGACAGGTGTGGACCACCAGGCCTGACTAATTTTTTTTTTTTTAACTTTCTGTAGAGTCTCACTATGTTGCCTAGGCTAGTCTCTTAAGTCCTGGCCTCAAGTGATCCTGAAGGTATTTTTGAAGTAAAGATGATTCAGTAAATTATACTGGAACAATTAGTTAACTGGAAAAAAAACAAGTCGTCTCTACCTCGAGTCAATATAAAATAAAGATAGATCAAAAAGATAAATATTTAGATAAATTATTTAAAAAGTAAAAGAAAATATAGATAAATTAGCTGTTTAAACAGTGAAAGGGTATACTGCAACTATCAATATGTTTGTAATTGCAAGAAAGTGGTAATGATTCGACATCTTAACAATAATTGCTTGTTCTATTCAGAAATATGGAAGGGAACATGAGTCAGGCATGGTGATTCATGCCTTAGTCCCACCTGCTTGGGAGGCTGAGGTGGGAGAATCACATGAGCCTGGGAGTTTGAAACCAGACTGGGCAACATAGCTAGATCCCACCTCTAAAAGAATAAAAATAAAATAAATAGACTGGAACATGAAACATATAAAGGATAAAAAATAAACCAAGAAAATAATTGCATTGAGGACTATGTTACACACATACTGACAAGAAACCACTAACACACCAAAAGCTACCTAGGCAATGGACAGGAACAGATATGACTAATAAATATTTTAAAAACAGTTTTGTCTATCAAAATAGTACAAAGCATGTTTGTTTTAACTGTTAGAAGAGTACAATGAAATGTGTGTTCATATATCATTGTCAGGAATGTTTCATGGAAAGAGTTGATTCTTTTTTTTTTTTTTTTTTTTTTGAGACGGAGTCTCGCTCTGTCGCCCAGGCTGGAGTGCAGTGGCCGGATCTCAGCTCACTGCAAGCTCCGCCTCCCAGGTTTACGCCATTCTCCTGCCTCAGCCTCCTGAGTAGCTGGGACTACAGGCGCCGGCCACCTCGCCCCGGTAGTTTGTGTTTTTTTTTGTATTTTTTAGTAGAGACGGGGGTTAGCCAGGATGGTCTCGATCTCCTGACCTCGTGATCCACCCATCTCGGCCTCCCAAAGTGCTGGGATTACAGGCTTGAGCCACCGCACCCGGCCGGAAAGAGTTGATTCTTAAGTGTTTAAAACCTTTTACCTAGTCATTTTACCTCTAGGAAAACTTGACAAACATTTTGGCACAGTAGTATTTATTACAGCCTTATTTTAAATGGGGAAAATTGGAAAGAACCAAAATAGTTAACAGTAGGAAGTAAATTATGGCATGACAGCAAAGCTAGAAATCATAGTAAAGAATATGGATAGATTTGATCACATACAAAATTTAAACTACTGTATCATAAAATGTTTGACCAATGACAAAGCAGGAAAAGTTTTCTAACATGATATAATATATGTGCATATATATGTTATGTAATTATATAACATGTTTTAAAAACCCATATGCAGTAATTGGTGAAAGACATCCCATTTTTAAAACGAGCAAAGACATGAATTAACCAAAGAAGAGGCTGGGCGCAGTGGCTCACGCCTGTAATCCCATCACTTTGGGAGGCCGAAGTGGGTGGATCACTTGAGGTCAGGAGTTTGAGACCAGACTGGCCAACATGGTGAAACCCTGGCTCTACTAAAAATACACAAATTAGATGGGCACCTGCAGTCCCAACTACTCAGTCGACTGAGGCAGGAGAATCACTTGAACCCTGGAGGCAGAGGCTGTAGTGATCCGAGATCGTGCCACTGCACTCCAGTCTGGGTGACAGAGTGAGACTCCATCTCAAGATAAAAAAAAAAAAAAAAAAAAAAAAGAAATACAATTGACCAATAAGCATATAAACACTTTTAGCGTTGCAGGTAATGAAGGAAATTCAAATACAAAAATAAGATGTCATTTTTCAACTATCCAGATGCACGTTTTTATTTCCAAGTTTTAACTAGGTTTGTTAATGTTAAGAGAGAATACCAAAAAAGACAGGTTATATTCAATGTTGATAAAGACATAAGAAAATGCTTTTATAATGCTGGTGGCCATTGGTGAATCAATCTTAGGGAAAGTTGCCAGTGTATATAAAAGCCTCTATGAAATTTTACTTAAATGAACACATTCAAGGAAAATAATCAAAGTGTGCAGTTATATAGATGTAAAACACTATTATTTCATTTATAGTTCAAAAGCACAAAAATTATATTTAGAGTACACAAATAAGTAGTTAAAGTACCAAGCAAATCTAGATAGAAATTTACCTCTGTTGGGCAGAGATGGGTACCAAGTTGGGAAGCTTCCACAGGGGACTACACAGGTACTAGTAGTAGTTTTTCTTTCTCTCTTTCTTCCTTTTATTTTTAGAGACAGGGTCTCACTGTCCTATTTTGGTTCTTTCCAATTTTCCCCTATTATAAATAAGCTGTAATAAATACTACTGTGCCAAAATATTTGTTGGGTTTTCCTAGAGGTAAAATGACTGGGTAAAAGGTTTTAGACATTTGAAAACCACCTGTTTCCATGAAACATTCACGACACCCAGGCTAGAGTGCAGTGGCAGGATGGTGGCTCACCGCAACCGTGAACTGGGTTCAAGTGGTTCTTCCACCTCGGCCTCCTTTGTAGCTGAGGTTACAGTTATGTGCTGCAACTCCCAGCTAATTTTAATATTTTTTATTTTTTGTAGAGGTGGGGTCTTGCTATGCTGCACAGCCTGGTCTCCAACTCCTAGCCTGAAGAGATCCTCCCACTTTTGCCCCACAACATGCATAAGCCACTATGCCCAGCCCTTTTATTTTTAGAGATTTTATACAACATATATTCTTTTGCCATACTGTATATACACTTTTAAAAAATGTTTACACAATGACCAGGCATGGTAGCTCACACCTGTAATCCACACCTGTAATCCCAGCACTTTGGGAGGTCAAGGTGGGTGGATCACCTGAGGTCAGGAGTTTGAGACCAGCCTGGCCAACATGGTGAAACCCTGTCTCTACCAAAAAAATACAAAAACATTAGCCAGGCACAGTGGTATGCGCCTATAGTCCCAGCTACTGGGGAGGCTTAGGTAGGAGAATCACTTGAAACTGGGAGGTGGAGGTTGCAATGAGCCGAGATTGCACCACTGCACTTCAGCCTGGGAGTAGATCGAGACCCTATCTCAGAAAAAAAAGAAAATGTTTGCACAAGATGTTAAAGACAGCATGGGTCATTATGTTTAAATTCAAAACTGGAAACTTATAAGTGAAAATCAATCTTGAACTATCTTGTATTCAGTGATATTCTCTTTATAACTATTTTACAGACATCTGTGTAATTGTCTAGGACAATGATAATCAGATGACAGGATCACTCATTTTAGTCTTAAAAAAAATGGCAAGTTTTTAATCTATATATGTATACCAGTTATAAAATTCCACTTTAGGATTTTGAAGCCCCATGAGCTACATAGTTCCTTTTTTGAACTAATAAGTTGAAGTTAATGGTCCTTAACCATTTTATACCATGGATATATATGAATTTGCTTCATGGGACTTCTATACCATAAAGCATAACTGAATATTTGTCCAAACTTGATATTTAGTAAGGTTAAATTTTTTCCCAGAGATTGGATGTTAACTTTTTTAACCTTGTAATTTCCCTATGAATCACACCAGTGAGGAGGCCACAGATACAGAATCCAGGCCCAATGATAATGTTTTTGCCACTCCCGGCTCCACTATCCAGCAGCTGGAAAAAAGTGGTAAGTATAAGAATCAAGTTACTTCTCAGGAACATTTTTCCCAAACTATCTTTGAACAAAATTGATTTCATCATCTTAGACATTCTAACAGTTTTCTTCATCTGTTTAATTCCTAATGTTGGATTACATTAACTACCATTTCATTCAGCATGATTTTGTCCAAGAGAAAGAAAATTTTCTGGTATGTTTTTAATACTATTGATTATATTCAGTATTTGTCAGCTTGTTTTTAACATTTTGATTTGAAACATATATATTTATTTACCAATCTTTTGATGTAGAGCCATGGTACTTTTTCTTTTAACCTATTGATTAGAGTTGTACATTATCTTTCTTATATAAACCACGCACAGAATACCTCAGCTGTCATTTTAAATTTTGGTTTCTTTTGAATAGCTCAGCAACTTAAAGAAAATTTTCATACATTGTTTTCATATTTGTCCCAGCAAACATGAAAACATTGGTGTTCATGAAAAAGCAAGATTAAAAAATCCTAGAGTTTTGTGATTTTTTTGTTTTGTTTTCTTTGAGACAGGGTCTTACTCTGTTGCCCAGGCTGGAGTGTAGTGGCATGATCTTGGCTCACTGCAGCCTCAGCTTCTCAGGCTCAAGCAATCCTCTCAAGTAGCTGGGACTACAGGCACACACCACAACGTCCAGCTAATTTTTGTATTTTTTGTATAGATGGGGATTTGCCATGTTGCCCAGGCTGGTCACAGTTGTAGACTACTCATTGCAACCTCTGCCTCTTGGACTCAACCAATCCTCCCACCTCAGCCCCCAAAGTAGCAGGGACTATAGGCATACACCACCATGCCCAGCTAATTTTTGTATTTTTTTGGTAGAGGGGTTTCACCATGTTACCCAGGCTGGTCTCAAACTCCTGGACTCAAGTGATCTGCCCACCTTGACCTCCCAAAGCACTTCATCCTTTTTAATTGATAAATAGTATTCTACTGTATACATGAGCCATATTCATTTGCTGATTAAGAGGTAATGTTTTTATTTTTTATTATTATAGGCAGTGCCCTAAGGAAATTTTCCGTAGTGCATATGTGTATTTCTCATCTAGGAGTAGAATTGCCAGGTCAAAGGGCATGCATATTTTTACTTATTCTAGAAAATGCTGAATAGTCAGCTAAGAGTGGCTGTTAAGATTTATCTTCTCACTAGTGGTGTTGAGTTCCTGTTTCTCCATCTTTTCCAGCACTTGATGATTTTTAGACTTAAAATATTTTGCCAGTTAGATCGTTTTTCTAACATTTACCTTTTCTCTTTGTTGTTTTTTAAGGTTGCCTCGATGATACTATGTGTCCTAGATAGCAATTGTCTGTATATGCATGGGTCTCTCTTGTTCTTATCTTTAATTTTTCCATCCCTGGTTAATGTTACACTGTTTTTAACTATTGTACCTTCGGAGTAAGTCCTGCCATCTTGGAAGGCAAGTGACCTGTTCTCCCTCTTCCTCCTCCTTTGTCAGAAGTTTGATAATTTTCTCCATAAAGGTTTTACACCATTTTTAATAGACATATTTGTAGGTATCTTGTCTTTGTTGCTACTGTGAAAAGTATCTTTTTTCAAATTATATGTGTAATAGTTTGTTGCTTTTATGTTTAGTATACATTACAACTGTTTGTTATTGTGTATTGCTCTTGCATCCTTGCTGAATTTTATTAGTGCTAATGGTAATTACATATGTGAATATGAGATTTTTTTTTCCTGTCCAGTTAAGTATACTATAGTTACAATTTTCTGTGACCATTTTATGTGTCTTTCAGATGCCGAGTATACCAATTCTCCTTTGGTACCTACATTCTGTACTCCTGGTTTGAAAATTCCATCTACAAAGAACAGCATAGCTTTGGTAACTTTCCGTAAAATTGAAAGCCACAATCTTTCTCCTAAAGACTCAGATACACTACTGCTTGCAGACTCAAAGAGGCTATTTAGAAGACATGGATGAATCCAGCTTTTAGGAGTGTATTTACAGTGCATTTCTGGAGGGTAGCTTGGCAGCATAAGTCAATTGCTCTGAAAAGTATTTTTCTTTTTTTTCTTTTGTTTTTGTTTCTGAGACCGGGTCTCGCTCTGTCACCCAAGCTGGAGTGCATTGGCGCAATCTCGGCTCACTGCAACCTCCGCCTCCCGGGTTCAAGCGATTCTAGCTTGTCTAGAATCAAGCTGTCTTGCCCTCCCGAGTAGCTGGGACTACAGGCGCCTGCCACCACACCCGGCTGTTTTTTTTTATTTTTAGTAGAGACGGGGTTTCACCTTGTTAGCCAGGATGGTCTTGATCTACTGACCTTGTGATCCGCCCGCCTGGGCCTCCCAAAGTGCTGGGATTACAGGCGTGAGCCACCACGCCCGGCTAAAAAATATTTTTCATACCCTTAAACCATATCTCAGAATTTTTTCTAAGGCAAAGTGGAACAAAGATTTAAAACAAGTTACAGAGTAAGAAATAGCATTATTTGTAAGCACAAAACATGGGAAACGGTATAAATATCGAATGATATCGAAGAACTAAAACACAGCAAGGCATATCCATAAGATCAGGTATTATGTATACTATCATGTGTTTTTCAAAACAGATGAGAGCATATAAAAAGAATATTTTCAAGAAATATTAATCATATGGAAAATTATGTGTGTCTACGTACACACACACATGCATATGTACACACATATGTTTTAAGGAAAAAGAGTGGATAGAAACAGCAAGGTGTAGTTATCTCTGGGTGATAAAATTATGGGTGATTTTGTGCTTTTTTTCCCCTAAATTTTACCAGTGAATAATCAGATTTCATCAAATCAAAACCTTATCCCTCTTCAGTCAGTATGGTCACTTAACCAATGCTACGGAAAACCAATACTGTGTTAGGGCATCCAATAGAATTTTCTGTAATGATGGAAATGTTTTCTAATCTGCACTGTCCAGTATGGTAGCCACTAATCACGTTATTGAGCACTGAAAATGTGGCTAGTATATCGGAAGAATATTTAATTCTTTAATTTTTATTTAATTTTGATTAACTTAAAATTTAAAGAGTCCCGTGTGGCTATGGCTACTATATTGTACAGTGCAGCTGTGGATGAACATAGGGCTGTGTTAGCAATTGAGGTATCAGGTTATCTGCCTGTTAGTACCTGCCATTTACAATTAATCTACTCCTTATGTTCACATGGAAGGTACCCTACTGAGGTGACCCTCTCTCTCTGTTAAGTCTGACCTGAGAGAGATGGAGCGACTTACCCAACTGGCTGGTTTAGTATGAATAGTCTGCATACTAAACTTACCTCTGATCTGCTTTTTTCCTCTTGGGAGGGCATGTGGTAACACTTGTTCATTCATGCTGTGATTTTCCTCTGACTACACTCACTGTTGCCTAAGATGGGGTGGGTGTATCCATCTAAATCTTTGGTTCATTCTATTTAGTTTTGACACTAAGCTTTTTTTTTTTTTTTTTGGTGAGATGGAGTCTCACCCTGTCACCCAGGCTGAAGTGCAGTGGCGCAATCTTGGCTCACTGCAACCTCTGCCTCCTGGGTTGAAGCAATTCTCCTACCTCAGCCTCCTGAGTAGCTGGGATTACAGGCACGCACCACCACACCTGGCTAATTTTTTATATTTTTAGTAGAGACGGGGTTTCACCGTGTTGGCGAGGCTGGTCTCAAACTCCTGACCTCATGATCCGCACACCTCAGCCTCCCAAAGTGCTGGGATTACAGGCGTGAGCCACCGCACCTTGCTGACATTAAGCTTTAACTCAGCCTTTATTGGTAATGAAGGTGATATTTTGTCATCTGTATGCCATTTGTTCTTGATTTTGTTTAGAACTTGGTCAGAGGCCGGGCGCGGTGGCTCAAGCCTGTAATCCCAGCACTTTGGGAGGCCGAGACGGGCGGATCACGAGGTCAGGAGATCGAGACCATCCTGGCTAACACGGTGAAACCCCGTCTCTACTAAAAAATACAAAAAAAAAAACTAGCCGGGCGAGGTGGCGGGCGCCTGTAGTCCCAGCTACTCGGGAGGCTGAGGCAGGAGAATGGCGTAAACCCGGGAGGCAGAGCTTGCAGTGAGCCGAGATCCGGCCACTGCACTCCAGCCTGGGCGACAGAGCGAGACTCCGTCTCAAAAAAAAAAAAAAAAAAAAAAAAAAGAACTTGGTCAGAGAAGATGGGGCATATGGGGGCCTACTTAGAGACCCCAACAGAACTAACAAATGATTAACCATTTTTGATTACTACATTATGTTATATTACCATAATTTAATGGTTTATTTTTATTCAATAGGTATCTACAAATTACCCATTATCAAAAATAAATAGTTCACCCAATGATTTGGAAGTTAAAGATCATGCTTCGTTGGTTTTAAATTCAGACACATGCTTTGAGAATTTAACAGATCCCTCTTCACCTACGATTTCTTCTTATGAGAATCTGCTCAGAACACCTACGCCTCCAGAAGTAACTAAAATTCCAGAAGATATTCTCCAGGTTATTTTTCCAGGCTATTTTTTTTTCTGATATTCTTTTCAAAATGAAATACTTAAAGACCTGAAACTGCATGTAAACTGTCTTATTTATCATTGAGCTAATGTGCTAATTTTGGTGATGAGAAAATCTAAGTTCTAGGCTGTCAGGACCTTATTTTCTAGTACTTGTTCAACTGTGGTTTCCATGTCGATCATGGTTCCATTAGAAGTGTTGCTGGCAAAGTCAGAAAAGTCATTTACCCTGCAATTTCCCAGAACCAGGGTATCATGAATAACATGTCAGTGCTTTTTGAACTTGAGACTTGTTGGACCTCAGTTTAGGAAACACTGATTGATGTATATTAGAATACAGTTATGTGCTGCTGCATAACGTTTTGGTCAATAACAGACCGCATATGCCGCAGCAATGATAATATGATACTGTATTTTTACTGTACATTTTCTATGTTTAGATACACAAGTACTTATCACTGTGTAGCAAGTGCCTGCACTATTCAGACAGTTACATGCTGTAGAGGTTTGTAGCCTAGGAGCAATAGGCTGTACCATATAGCCTGGGTGTGCAGTAGGGTATACTATCTAGGCTTGTGTAAGTACTGTGATGTTCACACACGATGAAATCACCTCATGATGCATTTCTCAGAATGTATCCCTATCGTTAAGTGATGCCTGACTGTATCCGATTCTTTAGTATTTAACAGCAGTTACCATTAGTCTACTAATGACTTATAACAACTGCCGGCCGGGCGCGGTGGCTCAAGCCTGTAATCCCAGCACTTTGGGAGGCCGAGACGGGCGGATCACGAGGTCAGGAGATCGAGACCATCCTGGCTAACACGGTGAAACCCCGTCTCTACTTAAAAATACAAAAAACTAGCCGGGCGAGGTGGCGGCGCCTGTAGTCCCAGCTACTCGGGAGGCTGAGGCAGGAGAATGGCGTGAACCCGGGAGGCGGAGCTTGCAGTGAGCTGAGATCCGGCCATTGCACTCCAGCCTGGGCGGCAGAGCGAGACTCCGTCTCAAAAAAAAAAACAACTGCCAATTCTAAATAACCAGTCTGATTCTTTGACAGTCCCCCTCCTTAATAGAAGTTACAGTGTTTGGCAGTTGTTACTTACACGTATGGAATTCTTAATAACCATTCTAGAAATCTTCCTGACTTACGGAGACCCATGAGAAGGATAAATCACTTAGGAAAATACTCAGATGCCTTTAGAACTGACTCATGCTGGGATATCAATAAAGTACTTGTTATCCTTTTTTCTCTCTTCTGCTTTTCTGGAAGAAATAATAAATTGCATGAAGAAGGAGCATCTTCTGTCTTTATGAAAATTATATAGTTTCCACTTCCCAACAGTTGCTTCATCTCTCCTTATTTCTATGTAAAAGGAAGGAAAGCTTATATTTAATATATCATCTCTTTATGCATGAAAAAATTCTAGCTAATATTTCATGTTCTCCTGTCATAATTTTTGTAATTGGTGACCTTCCTTTGAGCCTTCATTTTACATCTTTCCTTTGTGTATTTTAACATCTTTGTTAAGGCTTAATTTGCTCTCGGGGATATATTGCTACTTGTTTTCACTAACCTCAGTCAGAATACATTTTAGGCTTTAAAAATCAGTCCTTCACATCCATGTTACATTTCTAATATCCCCATCTTTTCATTGCTGTTAGCATGTCTTTTTTTTTTTTTTAGAACGAGTCTTGCTCTGTCTCCCAGGCTGGAGTGCAGTGGCATGATCTCAGCTCACTGCAACCTCCGCCTCCAGGGTTGAAGTGATTCTCCTGCCTCAGCCTCCCGAGTAGCTGGGATTACAGGTGTGTGCCACCACTCCCGGCTAATTTTTGTATTTTTAGTAGAGACAGGGTTTCACCTGTTGTCCAGGCTGGTCTCAAACTCCTGACCTCAAGTGATCCACCTGCCTTGGCCTCCCAAAGTGCTAGGACTACAGGTGTGAGCCACCACACCCAGCCCATAGCTTGTATTGAACATTTTATAACTTCTTCCAAATTTAGGTTATGTTGTTCATATGGCTCAATAAAAAGGAATTTGCTTTTTTTTTTTTTTTAGCTTTTATCAAAATACAACACAAACCTAGCTACTCCAGTAGCAATTAAAGCAGTGCCACCCAGTAAAAGGTTCCTTAAACATGGACAGAACATCCGAGATGTCAGCAACAAAGAAAACTGGTGAGTATGTTACCTTTGCAAAGAAAGTTCGTGTGTTATTTGAGGAGGACATTTAAAAATTAACATTTGACCATCCTGGCCAACATGGTGAAACCTTGTCTCTACTAAAAATACAAAAATTAGCCAGGTGTAGTGGTGCACACCTGTAGTCCCAGCTACTCGGGAGGCTGAGGCAGGAGAATCGCTTGAATCTGGGAGGCAGAGATTGCAGTGAGCGGAGATGGCTCCACTCACTCCGGCCTGGCAACAGAGCGAGACTCCGTCTCAAAAAAAAAAAGAAAAAAACATTTAAATGTTAGTAAAACTTTTGTTTTTAATTGACATTTGCCAGCTTAATAGCCTGTCTCTATCTTTTGATACAGGACTTGTGATCCCTGAATCTCAGATTCCCAAATTATCCAGTTTAATGATATCAGTGGGAATCTATCCTCAAATTTTTTTTTTTTTTGGGAGACGGAGTCTCGCTCTGTCGCCCAGGCTGGAGTGCAGTGGCCAGATCTCAGCTCACTGCAAGGTCCGCCTCCCGGGTTCACGCCATTCTCCTGCCTCAGCCTCCCAAGTAGCTGGGACTACAGACGCCCGCCACCTCGCCCGGCTAGTTTTTTGTATTTTTTAGTAGAGACGGGGTTTCACCGTGTTAGCCAGGATGGTCTGGATCTCCTGACCTGGTGATCCGCCCGTCTCGGCCTCCCAAAGTGCTGGGATTACAGGCTTGAGCCACCGCGCCCGGCCTATCCTCAATTATTTTATAAGTGTAAAATATACAGCCACAGTATTGTGTCATTTGTCTTAATGGCTTTTAATTATATTAAATTGATATTTTTTATTTGTATCTGTTGCAGAATTTCTAGTGAATCTATCCATTACAAGAAACTGAACAGAAGGAAATTAAAGCAGAGCTGGACCGATTTTATCATTCACATTCCCCTGCCTCTTTCCCCTTTTTAAACATTGACCCATTTTAAAGAGGAACATGAACATTAACATCATAATACGCTTTTTATGAAGTTTCGATAAAGTTTAACCTTAGTCTTGTTGACATGTAGTCCAGTCATTCACTCTTTAAGGATTATTAGTGTTTCATTGATACTAAATTACCCAGCTTAATCAACAGAATGGTTTAAGTAGTACCAGGAAGTAGGACAAGTAATTTTAAAAATATAAAGGTGTTTGCTACTCAGATGAGGCTGCCCCTGACCTGGCCAGGGAGACATTGCTGCCAGCCAGCTCTGCCTTCCCATCATCTCCTTTCAGGACCGTCCCACACCTTTTACTTCCTCAGTGCTGTCTGAAGATGCAGTTGCTGTTGTTTGCAAACAACAGGAACACCAGTTAAACTAATTAGGAAAAAAGGGAGATTTCCAGGCCTGGGTAACTATATACTGTGACCACTGGAGGTGGAGACAGGTCTCAACAGTTGGAACCAGGAACTCTGCTGTCAGGTTGTGAGTTTGTTTCTCTTTTCTCCCAGCTTTTCACTGTGTGGGGTCTTTTCTCTCACGTCAGTTCTTTCTATCACATGGCAGCTGACCTGTCACGCTCCACTCTCGAGCTTGGACACCCAGTAGACCCCGAACCTCACTCTCTAAAAGGTTCTGAGGGCTCGTCCTAGGCCAGGGGCCTTCCTGTGCGCTGTTAGCTATGGCCACGGGAGCCTCTAGAGCTGCCTGGTAGCTTCAGTCTGACCTGCTTATCAAGCCTACGATCCTTCTGATTTAATTACAACTGGAAAGTATTATCTAATTAAGTTCATGATAGTGCTTTTGGAGAACTTGTCAAATTACAGCCAATGAGAAAATAAGGACCTAACGTACTGTGGAGAACCATTAAAAATTTGAGAAGAAACAATTAAGTATTATGTCAATGTGCTTCAAAGGCTTAGTTTTGGGAATTTGATGCAGTAAAGATTACCCTGTTTTATGATGGTTCCTTGAAAGTCAAATGGGGGACCTGTCCATTGTGCTCTATTAATCTTGTCAGAAAACTGTCACCAAAACAAAACTTGATTTTGCCCTTGTTCTAGAAGTTACTGGGTAGTTGTAAGTATAATTTTTGTTAAATATAATGTAAAATAAAATTTTAAGATATTTAGTTTTGTTTTTCAAAATAAAGCTCTAGTCAGCTTTATGTATGCCATTGACTCTGAAATGTATACCAGCCTTTTACTGTGTACTGTGTGTATATGAATCCACAGAACCGGATGAGCTGCTTAGGGAGGGAATATATTCAAAGTATACCAAGGACCAAATCCTAGAGTTCTCCCAACTTTAGAGGATGGAAAAGGGCAAAGTCATCTAGCAAAGGAGACTGAGAGGAGGCCAGTGAAGTAGGAAGAAAGTATTTCAAGGAGAGTGACGATTCTGTCAGTACTGCTGAGAATTCAAGTAAAAAGAGGACTGAGAATTGACTGTTGGGTTTGGCAAAGTTGATGTTGACAACACTGATTAATTTTTATGGAGTGCTGGTACTAGAAGTCTGTAGTGAATGGAAGAGAAAACAGCTGAGGAGGTAAAACAGTGGCTTCAGACAGCTCTTTTGAGGAGTTTTGCTAAAGAAGGGAGGCAAGAGAACAGGCAGTAGCTAGAAGAGGTTATGTAGTGAAGAGGTTTTTTAAAGATGAGTGTATTAGTCTGTTCTCACACTGCTAATAAAGACACCCAAGACTGGGTAATTTATAAAGGAAAGGTTTAATGGACTCACAGTTCCACATGGCTGGGGAGGCCTCAGAATCATGGCAGAAGGCGAAGTGGGAAGCGAGACACGTCTTACATGGTGGCAGGCAAGAGGGCATGTGCAGGGGAACCCCCCTTTATAAAACCATCAGATCTTGGGAGACATACTCACTATCATGAGAACAGCATAGGAAAGACCCACACCCATGATTCAGTGACCTCCCACTGCATCCTTCCCACAACTTGTGGGAATTCTGGGAACTACAATTCAGGTGACATTTGGGTGAGGACACAGTCAAACCACATCAGTGGGCGATAAAGACTGTTAAGCATTTCTGATTGTCTGCAAGGGAGCACCACTTGTTTAGTGGTGGCCCCTCAGTTTGTCCAAATCATATTTCCTTAACCCTTACCACCTCCCTCCTATGACCCTAGTTTCTGTTTCTTAGAACTGATGCTTCCAGCTTGTCAAGCTTCAGACATTGGGATCTTTCAAGTGTGTCTTCCCACTGCTCTTAAAATGAAATCCAAGATCTTAATTTTGGCTTACATGGCCCTATGTGATTTGACCGCAGGTTGCTTCTCCCTCCTGCCCCTTGTGCTCCAGCCACACCACCCTCTTCCACTCCTCCGTTCTTCCTGCCCCCGGGCCTCACACAGGCTGCTCTCATCTTGGAATACTTTTTCCCACCCATTCTGCTAACACTCCCTCATCCTTAATTGGTGGATACTTGATGTTTTTGTCTGCCCCGCACTACTGCCCTTAAGAACTTACAGGCCAGCTCCAGGCTCAACCAAGCAGCATCACAACTTCTGACCACACCGGTCAACTCAGGTCAATGAAAGCCCATTCTGGGACTGGGGAAGTACTGGGAAAGAGCAGCACACTTCTGGAGATGCAGAGGTACAGCTGGAGCTGTGAAGGGAGGGCCGGCCTGAGTGGAGGAGCCCTTGCCACAGAGTTGAGGTGGTGGTGGAGCTCAAGGATCAGCTGGGCCTGAAGTAAGCTAGCTCCACCCTGGACTTTTCTGTTGATGCATAAACTCCTTGCCCTTGAGCTAGCTGGAGTTTTGTGTTACTTCAGACTTTGAGCCCTGGCTAATATGCTCTCCGATTAAGTATCATTTTATCAAAGACTTTACCTATCTTCCTGGTTTAAAAGAGATCTTCCCCCTTAGTTCTTTCTCAGCACCTTATTCTCATCTTTCATAGTATTTGGTAGAATTTAATAAATTCGATTTAATAAAATATTTGGGTATACATTTATTTAATATTTGTTTCCCCCACTGGACCACAAAAGCTCAATGAGGGCAAGGACCTTGTTTGCTTACTTTGTCCATTACCCAGGCACCTAGGTTTAAAAGGTTTATTGTGTGAATTAGTGATTACATTAAAGAGTTGAGATCTTACAATGCCAGGCATGGTTCTAAATGCTATACATTTATTAATGTGTGTAGTTAACTCTTTGAGGTAGGTACCCAGTTTTTCTTTTTTTTTTTTTTTTTTTTCTTTTTTTTGAGACGGAGTCTCGCTCTGCCACCCAGGCTGGAGTGCAGTGGCCGGATCTCAGCTCACTGCAAGCTCCGCCTCCCGGGTTCACGCCATTCTCCTGCCTCAGCCTCCCGAGTAGCTGGGACTACAGGCGCCGCCACCTCGCCCGGCTAGTTTTTTGTAGTTTTTAGTAGAGACGGGGTTTCACAGTGTCAGCCAGGATGGTCTCGATCTCCTGACCTCGTGATCCGCCCGTCTCGGCCTCCCGAAGTGCTGGGATTACAGGCTTGAGCCACCGCGCCCGGCCGGTACCCAGTTTTTCAAATGAGGAAATTGAGGCTTTAATGATTAACTTTCCATGTCCAATTTCCCATCCCAGGTCTTGTTGGTTGCCAAGCCCTACAGAGGGTCTTTTAACATCTTTCTACCACTACCCTGATTCTCACCTAGATTATTACAATTCTTTAGAATTATCTGGAACCCCTGCCAAAGGTAAGTGCTTTACTGATTGTGAGTTCATCATTTCCTCTTGTTCGTGCTGTGCCCTTTACTGGAGTGTAGACCCCACTCCACTTGAAGGAGCTGAACAAGCTTAAATGCCATCTGTAGAAAACCTGCCATTATCCTACCACAGTTTCAGTAGCAATTCTTTCTTGTGACATTTTTCTGTCCACCTTTTATCAGTATTTGCACCTTTTCTTCCTTACTAGATTGTAAGATTTTGAGGAAGGATCCGTATCTGTGTCAAATCTTGGTATTGCCAGGTTCACAGCATCTGGTGCATAAAATAGGCACTCATCTAAAATTTTCAAGGATTTTTGAATATCCCTCAGGAGGTTCACTTCATTCTTTTTTTTTTTTTTTTTTTAACGTCTCCCTCTGTCGCCCAGGCTGGAGTGCAGTAGCGAGATCTTGGCTCACTGCGACCTCTGCCTCCCAGGTTCAAGCGATTCTCCTGCGTCAGCCTCCCAAGTAGCTAGGATTACAGGCGCCTGCTATCACATCTGGCTAGTTTTTGTATTTTTAGTAGAGACTAGGTTTCACCATGTTGATCAGGCTGGTCTCGAACTCCTGACCTCGTGATCTGCCCACCTCAGCCTCCCAAAGTGCTGAGATTACAGGCATGAGCCACCGTGCCTGGCCCACTTCATTCTTAAATTGCTCTAATTTCATCAAATATCAAATTCCATTAATTTTTTTTTTTTTTTTTTTTTTTTTTTTTTTTTGAGACGGAGTCTCGCTCTGCCGCCCAGGCTGGAGTGCAGTGGCCAGATCTCGGCTCACTGCAAGCTCCACATCCCGGGTTCACGCCATTCTCCTGCCTCAGCCTCCTGAGTATCTGGGACTACAGGCGCCCGCCACCTCGCCCGGCTAGTTTTTTGTATTTTTTAGTAGAGACGGGGTTTCACCGTGTCAGCCAGGATGGTCTCGATCTCCTGACCTCATGATCCGCCCGTCTTGGCCTCCCAAAGTGCTGGGATTACAGGCTTGAGCCACCGCGCCCGGCCAATTTTTTTTTTTTTTTAAGAGACAGAGTCTTGTTCTGTTGCCCAGGCTGGAGTGCATTGGTGCTAGCTTGGCTCACTGCAAGCTCCGCCTCCCGGGTTCACCCGCCATTCTCCTGCCTCAGCCTCCCAAGTAGCTGGAACTACAGGCGCCTGCCACCACGCCTGGCTAATTTTTGTATTTTTAGTAGACACAGGGTTTTGCTGTGTTGCCCAGGCTGGTTTTGAACTCCTGACCTCAGGTCATCTGCCCACCTCGGCCTCCCAAAGTGCTGAGATTACAAGTGTGAGCTACCGTACCTGGCCAAATTCTGGTTAAATTTTCTTGTGAGTTGGTTGTAACTGAGTTGACATAGTACCATGGGTAGAGCAAGAAATTCTAAACAGCTGAAGGCGCAAATTGAAGAGGCTAGAAATACCTTTTTCCTCTTTTTAAAATAGCTTACCTTTACTAAATATTCACTGCCCCCCAGGCTCTCCCCTAGTTTCACTGACTCCTCCCAAGTTTTATGAGGTAGGGATATCATTACACCTTCCTATAATAAAGTCTGCATTAACATTCCCAGGCTAAGGACTTTTGCTTATTACAAGTACTTTTTAGTATTAAAATTACTTTTATGTTTAGCTTATTTCCCCTAAGGATGTCTTATGGGGGAGAATCCATGATTTTGTCTTCACAGAATAGTTGCCTAGCCATGATTAATCCTTTCTAACACAATAAACATAACTTCCTTCAAGCTTGTGCCTTGCAGACTCCAGGAAATCAGTTATTTGCAAAAGCAACCTATATTTAACTAATAGAAGACAAACCAGAACAGGCAGACATCTGGCTGCTCTTAACACATTCAAAGTGGAAACTATGACCATGTCATTTTTTTTTTAAGAGAGGCATTTTGAGTTTGTATAAAAACTGAATAGAAGAGGTCTACTTTAGATAACTAGGCAAAACTTGCTAATTGTAGGGGATAACATCACTGCAATAATAGTGTGTCAGTGTAGTGTGGGTGGATGTCAGACTATAAGAAACTGAATATGAAAGAACATTATTTCTGGAAATGTTTCAACTAGTCCTCTATTTTTGGCTACCTAGGTCCAATGACGCATTTTTGAGCTGTTAAAGTAGCCCCTCCATCTGGGCCTCATTGTCACCTATAAATGGCCACTATAGTCACAGTATCTCAGTTGTGGTTACATGAGAATGCTGGTAAAGTTGTTCCTCAGCACAGTATCAGTGTTCCTTACTTATGGGGTCATGTCTGGATAAACTCATCATGAGTTGAAAATACCCTGTCAGAAGTGCCCTTTCTACTTAAAATGTGTTCAGTTCACATTGGTTTTATCGGGATGTAGCCCCATAATAAGCTGAGGACCGTAGTGAATGGCTTATCACTTATGCTCCATCGCAAAACTGAAAAATCTGAAGTTCAACTATCATAACTTGGGAGCCATCTGTGTTTGGCGCAAGTAAACACTTAAATCATAGTTATAAACTTGATTTAGTGTTGCCTTCTCTGTTTCACAAAAACAAGTCTGAAATGCGTTTAATTGAACAAGAAAGAGGTATATCGAGTTCAGCTTTTTATTTAGTATGTTCAATTTTGGAGAATCTTAAACCTAGCCTAATGTTTCTTTCTACCCGCATTCACACCTGCCTCTCATATGCATAAAACCGATACCTAAAGCATTACCTGAGTCAATGATCAGCTGGGCATAACCATCCCAGTTTTTGTATACCGTGAAAAAAAAGACATAGGCAATGTCATGTACTGTAACACATATTCCAGACGGAAAACGTCAATTCCAAAATACCTATGAGCCAATGAGGCAACCAGGGCAGACGCTGAAGAACCGAGCAAGACGCTGTCATGACGACTATTTCTATTTTATATGTGGGGAAACAGCTCAGTTATTAAAGCCACACTTACCTACCAAAGCCTGAGGTAAACAAGTCTTTTGATTCTTAGCATTATATTCAATAAATTCTACTAGGTATTCTCTAACTGTACTTTTAATGGAATATTGAAATCTTTAAAGGAAACATTCCATGTTGGAACCAAGCAAAGGGTGGAATTTGACAAACCAGCTCAACCACTTTGGCTTACAAAGTCCTTTATTTAGTTCCTACCCTCTTCATCTGCATAGTAAATCATAGGGTTCTTCCCCCCACGAATAGGAAGTTAATCATGGCTATTCTCCAAAAAGCTAGGTGTAAATTAACTTTATCTGAATGAATAAACAACCTAAAGGTTTGGGGTAAACCACAGCACAGAAGAGGCATCAGATCTAGGCTCCAGGTTGGTCTCTGCCACTAACAGGGACACCAATTCCACAGAATCGTTAGATTTTAAATGGCTGTTTTTCTATGTACCAGATAAAACTAGTGCAATTTAATTGCTGCCAGTACTTTTTTTTTTTAATTTTGGGATATACATTTTCACTTGGCTACTGTAACAAACTAAAGGGAATTTACAGTACACTGTCATACTGTTCATAAACTTCAAAATGAGAATAGTGCCATGGAAGAGTTCCAGTTTTAACACCACTTTACAGCCGATAACCAGTATTTATTGTTTTCTCATTTGCCAGGCACTATTCTTAGCTCTTTTAAAATATTCAACCTTGACAATCCTATAGGCCATTATCTCTATTTTACAAAATGAAGATTCAAATAATTTATCCAAGGTTGCAGAGCCACTGCTGCAATCAGGATTTAAACGTTTTGCTGCACTGGTCTGCATCATTGCTTTACTGCCTCTCTAATCAGATGCACGCCAGTACCTACCACACAAGAGGGTGCGTGAATACCTCCTACTCATTCAACCTGACCTTGTCCTTGGCTCTTCTCCCTCAGTCTTTAAGATTTTTCCTTCACCCCTCCCTCCATTTGCAGATCTCCAAGGTAAACCTTTCTACCTCTACTGAAACCCTTGTTTCCTCTGAACTGGTTCCAGCCTTTAAAATGCCCTATTCCCCACATTAAAAATATAAGTCCTCATTGTGGTGCCAGTTCTTCAACCTTTTATGTCATGGTACCCTGATCAAGGCAGCGCCATCTCTTCCAACACAGCTTCAACTTGCCTCAGCTTATACTATTCCAAACTGCCTCTGCTGCCACTTGAGCTCAATCTCACATGTCCTTTCCAACTGCTTACAGCAGTCTACACCACAAACTCATGTTTGATTTCATACAATCCCGTGGCTTTCCTGTTCTGCCCCTTTGGGGTTAACCATACCCTCCTCCACCACTTAGTATAAACCCTGTTCCCAGGCCTCCATTAACTTTCACACTCAGGCTGATTACACACATATATTTAACAGTACAGTTTTACACAGAATGCTAAGAGCACTTTTCTTCATATTTTACAGAAGGGCTTGAAACATACAGACTTTCTATTAGTGATCATACAATAGCACATCCGAATCTAATTCCTAAATAGATGATGCATTATAATTTTAGAATTTAAAGGCTTAATGGCAATAATCAGGGGAGGAAAAAGAGTAAGTTTATGTTACATAACTGACGGAAAAATAAATTCAAGAAATTGTAAATAGAATTTAATATGGTCTCATGCGCCCTGAAGGAGGTGGTGCCCGATTTGGAGGGGTAATTGCTATGTCCAAGTAATCTCCTATCTGGAACTTCTGCGACTGCAGGGTCATGGAATCATCAGTCCCCTTTCTGCCAGACATGGTGCTGCCAATCTCCTTAACTCTGCAAGAAGAAAAATCAACTGTTAATGGATCAAAACCAGTAAATCCCAGCATGTGCTACGAAGTGAGTCCCAGCATGTGCTACAAAGTGAATCCGGCACCAGATCTGCTCCATCTCTTTATAACACGGCTCCAAAACTTAAGGACTTTATTAAGCCAAACCAGATCTGAGTATAAACTCTATTCTCCCACTAATAAGACTCACTGAAGGAGTGATTTCTATCAGTTAAAACATACTAAAAACAAAGATATTACAGGACTTAAAAATGAGAAGTTACTTACCTATAGCCGGGTCTTTTAACATCAGTAAAAACAATTGCAAAATTGAAGTGAGTGCCCTTCTTTCTAGCTTCTGGGTAGACTTCTTTTACTAAGCTTGTCAGTTCTTTCAAGGTTGCATCCATCCTGGATTTTTTTAAAAACAGATATTTACATTTGTTTAATCAGCAATATTATTAAAAGGATACTGACAATGCATTAATCACATATATGAGTTGTGACTTACGTTAGAAACTACCAGGGTCTTATACTAGAGTTTACTTTTAAAGCAGCTACAAATACTATTTGCCTCCAAAAACTCCGTGTACCAGCCTTACTGCTGGAAATTTCAATTAATTAGACTCAGTGCTAAAAGGGACTTCAGAGATTCCATATGCCATCTTCTGTTGCTACACAACACCTTATGGCCCAGTGATTTACCTAAGGATAACTAGTCCAAATAAATCCAAATATGCAAAATACATGTATTCCATTAGTTCTAAGACATGTACTCTTCCACATTTTAGCATCTCTGAAATTGGAGTGTATCTTAGAATCAATGTACTAGGAAAGCATTTTCATACTGACATGTTTTGTTTTTGAGAGTCTCGTTCTGTCGCCCAGGCTGCAGTGCAGTGGCATGACCTTGGCTCACTGCAACTCCGCCTCCCAGGTTCAAGCAATTCTCCTGCCTCAGCCTCCTGAGTAGCTGGGATGACAGGTGCCCGCCACCACACCCAGGTAATTTTTGTATTTTTAGTAGAGACAGGGTTTCACCATGTTGGCCATGCTGGTCTTGAACTCCTGACTTCAAGTGATCCACCCACCTTGGACTCCCAAAGTGCTGGGACTGATTACAAGCGTGAGCCACTGTGCCCAGCCAGATGTGTTTCTTCTTTCTTAGATGGAATCTTAAGTTTTACAACAGATAAGAGTCCTAGAGCCAATGAAATATACAAAATTTTCTTAGGATGAAGCACAGGCTCTTGTCACAATAAAGTTTCTTACCCTGCAAATATTGATTTGAATGCAACTTTCATATAGTCCCCTGAGCTAATAGGACACAATCTGAAAAAATATTTTAAAATATAAGCTTTTTTTTTTTTTTTTTGAGACGGAGTCTTGCTCTGTCGCCCAGGCTGGAGTGCAGTGGCCGGATCTCAGCTCACTGCAAGCTCCGCCTCCCGGGTTTACGCCATTCTCCTGCCTCAGCCTCCCGAGTAGCCGGGACTACAGGCGTCCGCCACCTTGCCTGGCTAGTTTTTTGTATTTTTTAGTAGAGACGGGGTTTCACCGTGGTCTCGATCTCCTGACCTCGTGATCCACCTGTCTCGGCCTCCCAAAGTGCTGGGATGACAGGCTTGAGCCACCGCGCCCGGCCAATATAAGCATCTTAGAAATAACCTAGTATACATTTTTTTGAGGCGCGGTGGCTCATGCCTGTCATCCCAGCACTTTGGCAAGCCAAGGCGGGTGGATCACCTGAGGCCAGGAGCTCAAGTTTGAGACCAGCCTGGCCAACATGGTGAAACCCCGTTTCTACTAAAAGTACAAAAATTAGCCAGGCATGGTGGCACACATCTGTAGCCTATAATCCCAGCTACTCGAGAGGCTGAGGCAAGAGAATCGCCTGACCTGGGAGGCAAAGGCTGCAGTGAGCCAAGATTGTGCCACTGTACTCCAGCCTGGGCAACAGAGTGAGACTGTCTCAAAAACAAAAACAAAAAAATCTGAGGTCACACTGGTTTATCTGTCTCAGAGGTGAGTTTTTTTTTTTAACCTGATATTTTGATGTTATTCTGTATCAGTTACAGGTTGAGTATCCCTTACCCAAAATACATGGGACTGGAAATGCTTTGAGTTTTTTCAGATTTTAGAATTTCTGCAGATACGTAAGGTATCTTGGGGTTGTGACCCCAGTTTAAATAAGAAACTCATTTATGTTTCAAACATACCTTATACACAGCCAGAATATAATTTTATACATCATTTTAAGTAATTTCGTGCATGAAAGGAAGTTTGGTGCACGCCTGTAATCCTAGCTACTCAGGAGGCTGAGGCAGGAGAATCGCTTGAACCTGGGAGGCAGAAGTTGCAGTGAGCCAAGATTGCGCCACTGCACTCCAGCCTGGGCGACAGAGCAAGACTCTCTCAAAAAAAAGAAGTTTGTGTCGGCCGGGCGCGGTGGCTCAAGCCTGTAATCCCAGCACTTTGGGAGGCCGAGACGGGCGGATCACGAGGTCAGGAGTTCGAGACCATCCTGGCTAACACAGTGAAACCCCGTCTCTACTAAAAAATACAAAAATCTAGCCGGGCGAGGTGGCGGACGCCTGTAGTCCCGGCTACTCGGGAGGCTGAGGCAGGAGAATGGCGTAAAAACCCGGGAGGCAGAGCTTGCAGTGAGCTGAGATCCGGCCACTGCACTCCAGCCTGGGAGACACAGTGAGACTCCGTCTCAAAAAAAAAAAAAAAAAAAAAGAAGAAGTTTGTGTCAAGAACTTATGTGTGCAATTTTCCACCGGTGTCATGTCAGCTCTCAAAGTTTCAGATTTTGCAGCATTTCAGATTTTGGACTTGCGATGCTCAATCTATATTCTGATACAGAGTACATACTTACGATGATATACACCAGAAAGAATTTTTTCCTTCTAAAAATATTTTCAATATTGTCTTGCTCTTAATGAGTTTGGGGGATTTATATCACACCTTTTATCAGTTCTGACAGTGTGAAACCTACACAAGCTTCCCACCTTCTAAGGACTAACTTTCCAGACCAACAATTGGAGTGCCAAGTGTTGCTTTTTCATCACTAGTCAGGAGCTTGAGGACAGGGTGGGGTTCAGTACTTGTGTCAGCTTGACGAAGCTACAGGCCCCAGATACTCAACCGAACACTAACGTAGGTATTGCTGTGAGATACTTTATTGATGTGATTAAAGTCAACAACCAATTGACCTTAAATTCAACGGTCTATCCTATATAATCTGGGTAGGCCTGATTCTATTAGTTGAAAGGCCCTAAGAGCAGCCTTTCCTTCCTGAGAACCTACCCTACAGATTTGACAATTAAGTGCCTAGACAGCCCCCACAATCACATAGGCCAATTCTTTGCAATAAAACTCTTTTTTTGGGGGAGGGGGGGATGGAGTCTCGCTCTGTCGCCCAGACTAGAGGCAGTGGCGCCGATCTCGGCTCACTGCAATTCAAGCAATTCTCCTGCCTCAGCCTCCCACATAGTTGGAATTACAGGCGCCTGCCACCACACTTGGCTAATTTTTGTATTTTTAGTAGAGACAGGGTTTTGCCATGTTGGCCAGGCTGGTCTCCAACTCCTGACCTCATGATCTGCCCACCTCTGCCTTCCAAACTGCTGGGATTACAGGTGTGAGCCACCATGCCCAGCAGAAATAAATCTCTTAACACATCTCTCCCAATTCTGTTTTTCTGGCTGAGCCATGACTGACTTTGGGGGGCACAGCCTGCCTCCACTGGGCTCCTCTGGAATCCCACTCCTTTTTCCATAGCTTGTCTTGGGGCTGCCTACTTTAACCTCACAGTCTACTTCTATTGAGAATTTCCAACATATGTTAACTAATTTTCCCTCATTACTATTTCTGGGAGTGAGGGCAGGCCTTTGCATTACCCCCATTACCAATCATCCAGTCTCAGAATCTCTGGCCACCATTTTGAGATATAACTTAAGGTGGTTCCTTCTTTGTTTGGTTGCAATTTATGGACAGGTAGTTCAGGACAGGATTTTTTTTGTAATTTTTTTTTCTTGATTCAGAGGAGGTGGTCTGTGGAACAACCTCACCCTGCCATCTTAACCCTAAAAATCACTCTATTCATCCGCTTTCCCTGATAAAAGGACTACAGGGAGGAGCAGTACCTTCTTGACTTTATACCCTCAGAATCTAAGCACACACAGCACCCGGCAAATAGGAACTCTTATTTGTTGGAAGAAACACACTTCAATTTCTGAAAAGAGATTTTCATGAAGTCATTATTCAACAGTTCTTCCATATAAGCTAAATCAAACTTCCTGGAACACTTACCCTTGAGTGATGCTTAAATACAAGTATCATACTACTACATAAATTTAACAAGCACTTCCAAATAAGATAAGTAAGGTCCCGATATTCAAGGGATTAGCTCTAGTGTACAGGGCTTAAACAGTTTTAAATTATACACATTCTGGGGAATATAAAATAGTGCAACTGCTGTGAAAAAGTTTGATGGTTCCTCAAAACTTAAACAAAATTAACATATGACCCAGTAATCCACTCCTAGGTACATACCCAAAATAACTGAAAGCAGGGACACAAACACATTTGTATGCCAATGTTCACAGCAGCATTATTCACAATGGCAAAAAAGATGAAACAATCCAAGTGTCCATCAATAGATGAATACATGTGATGCACACATACAATGAAATATTATTCAGTCTTGACAAGGCTGAATGGATGCTACAACATCAACCCCGAAAACACCATGAAATAAGCCAGTCACAAAATGACAAACACTGTAACGAGTTCACTGAAATGAAATATCCAGAATAGACAAATTCATATATAGACAGATAATACATTAGAAGCTACCAGGGGATGGGGCGGGGGAGGAATGGGAAATTATTTTTTAATAGGCACGGTGTGTCCTTAAAAGGTTACCAGCACACTGGGCATGGTGGTGTGTGCCTGTAGTCCCAGCTGGTTGAGCCAAGGAGCTCAAATCCAGCTTGGAAAACAGTGCAAGACTCCATCTCTTTAAAAATTAAAACAAGGCAGGATGGCGTACAGGCTTTCTGTTGGAGGGAGGGATAAAAACTTGTAGAAATAGTGGTTGCACAACAATTTGAATGCTATTAATGCCAACAAATTATACACTTAAAAACAGTTAATGACCATGCACGCTGGCTCACGCCTGTAATCCTACACCACTTTGGGAGGCCGAGGCGGGCGGATCGCTTGAAGTCAGGAGTTCCAGACCAGCCTGGCCAACATGGTGAAACCCTGTCTCTACTAGAAATACAAAAATTAGCCAGGTGTGGCGGTGGGCGCCTGTAATCCCAACTACTGGGGAGGCTGAGGCATGAGAATCCCTTGAACCCGGGAGGCAGAGGTTGCAGTGAGCCGAGATGGGCGCCACTGCACTCCAGCCTGGGCGACAGAGTGAGACTCAAGAAATAAGAAATGGTTAACATGGCAAATTTTGTTACATATGCACACACATATGTATTTTGAGACGGAATCTCGCTCTGTCGCCCAGGCTGGAGTACAGTGGCGCGACCTCAGCTCACTGCAACCTCCACTTCCCAAGTTCAAGTGATCCTCCTGCCTCAGTCTCCCAAGTAGCTGCGATTACAATTCTATGCCACCACACAAGGCTAATTTTTGCATTTTTAGTAGACACAGGGTTTCATTATGCCGACCAGACTGGTCTCAAACTCCTGACCTAAAGTGATCCGCCAGCCTCAGTTTCCCAAAGTGCTGGGATTGCAGGCATGAGCCACCGTGCATGGCTTGTTATATAACTTTTTATCGCAATAAAAAATTTATTTTAAGCCAGGCGCGGTAGCTCACACACCTGTAATCCCAGCACTTTGGGAGGCCGAGGCAGGCAGACAACCTGAGTTCAGGAGTTCGAGACCAGCCTGGTCAATATGGTGAAACCTCATCTCTACTAAAAATACAAAAATTAGCCAGGCGTGGTGGTGGGCACCTGTAATCCCACCTACTGGGGAGGCTGAGGCAGGAGAATGGCGTGAACACGGGAGGCGGAGCCTGCAGTGAGCGGAGATGGCGCCACTGCACTCCAGCCTGGGCGAGAGCAAGACTCCGTCTGAAAATATATATATATATACACACACACACATATATATATAGCATATACATATATTTTTCAGTTACACACCTTTTACTTATATTAAAAACCCATTATGGTGTCAATCCAAGGAGTTATGTGCAGCGCTAAAGACAAGCCGGCAGTAGTTTGTAGGGAGATACACCCAAGAGATGAACACTCAGGAACCATCTTCACTAAACACACACCAAAAGCTCTTCCATCAACCCTTAGATAATAACTCGGGTTTTGGTAGTTTATTTTTCACTTTTGGTGCTTTGGTACCTAAGGCTTAATATTACGTGGAAATGCTCTTTGAGAATAACAAACACCACTCGACAGCATCACTCTCCCTTACCATGCTGTCCTAGTGCAATTTATTTGACCATGAGTCCCTTTAGGGCGGATACTACAACTTAATCATCTACCTATCACTTTTGTACCTAGCAGCCATAACAGTGCTAAATCTTGGGTCTGTGCATTCTTAACCGCCCAAAAGTTGCAACATTAATCACAAAAGCGTTACAATAAAGGCAAATCTCCTTTCACCTAACAACAAAAACTTCTAACTTCCCGAAAGTTGAGCCTGAAGACCCCAAGTGGAGGAATGAAATTTAAATCAAGGAGAATAACTCTCTACACTGGCAAAGGCAATTAACTGTTGTTCCAGGTTCCCGGCCCGGGTCCGAGCCCGCCCCCGCCCTCCTCACCAAGTGTAGATCTGCAACTCGCTGGACGGTACATTTCCCCGGGAGAACTCGTCCATTCGGTGGTGGCGGCCGTTATTGGTGGTGAAGACCCGCAGCAACAGTGGGCATGTCTGAGGGCGAGAGAAAAACGGAACGGCAGAAGTTAAAGACACCAGCTGCGAGCCCGGACCTCACCTCTCTTCCCGAGGCGTTGCGGCCTCCGAGCCGTCCGGATACCAAAAACACCGTCTCCTCCCGCACACAGGCCGCGCCTCTGCACCCTGCCGGGCCCACCCCCAATCTCTTCCCGGACCCCAAAGCGGAGGGGACCTTCACCTTCTCGCGGTCGATTGGCTTCTCTGGCTCCTTCTTAATTTCCTCCTGGGTAACGCGCGACTCCACCGCCATCTTCCTCCTACGGCCCGCTAGACGCTCGCCCTGACCTCCGACCCCTGCAGCGAGCATGAGCACGAAGTCTCTCGCGAGGAGAAGCTCGACACTTTATAGTCGGGCAGTGGCTGGGCGGGGCGTCTCCTGACGCAGGCGCACTTCCGTTCGTGGCGTGCGAGCCGGGCGCGCCTGCGTGTTGCGACTTCGGGAAAAGGTGGGTGCTGGCCTCAGTGGGGAGGAGCGGTTTAGCCTCCGTCGCCTGGCAGTTGGTTGCCGGGGTGTTTTTTTTTTCCCTTAAATATTCACAGGCGAAATAAGCTTAAGGTGGCGTTTTCACGCGTAATGACGAAAACCTCATTGGACACAAAACGTTCCTTTATTAGCAAAATATAGATCTTTCTGATAAAAGAACAGGTCCGCCATACCCGCCCCTGAGGTAAGCCGGAAGAGGCGTCGCCAGCGTACGTGGTCATGGAGCGATCCTTTCAGCCACATACACGGCGGCTTAGAGACCGGAATGCGAGCAGGAAACCCGGAACTTGTAGGAAATAACGTTCTAGAATATCTTCAGGACCTATGGATGGGAATATATGATAGAAAAAACTAACGAGAAGCAATTGATTTGACTGGGTTAGGACAAAAATAATCTGACCTTCAAAACTCCGTGATGAACAAACTCCATGATGAACCCAAAATGCCAAGTATATGACTGAACTTAAAAGTGATATCATCTTACGACTGAAAAGTGGAAAAAAAAAATACATCATAAGAGAGAAAAAAGCCACAGAGTGGGAGAAATTTGTTACACATATGATTGACAAAGGCAATTATCCAGAATATATAGGATGTAAACAGACAACCCAATCGAAAAATGGATAAAATTACTGAACAGGTGCTTTGGAAATGACAAAATCCAGAGAGGCAACAAACATGTAAGGTGAGCAAGCGCATTACAAATCAGGGAAATGCATTAAAACCATGATTAGTTTCAATTGACTGGTTTTTAAGCCACACCCACTAGATTGGCAAAAATTAGGAACTCTGGCCAGGCGTGGTGGTGGCTCACGCCTGTAATCCCAGCGTTTTGGAAGGATGAGGCAGGCGGATCACCTGACCTCCTGACTCCCGACTTGAGGTCAGGAGTTTGAAACAAGCCTGGCCAACACGATGAGGCTCTGGTTCCACTAAAAATACAAAAAAAAAATAAAAATAAAAACGGCCGGGCGCGGTGGCTCATGGCTGTAATCCCAGCACTTTGGGAGGCCGAGGCGGGCGGATCACGAGGTCAGGAGATCCAGACCATCCTGGCTAACACGGTGAAACCCTGTCTCTACTAAAAATACAAAAAAAAAAAAAAAATTAGCCAGGCATGGTGGCGGGGGCCTGTAGTCCCACCTACTCCAGAGGCTGAGGCAGGAGAATGGTGTGAACCTGGGAGGCGGGAGGCGGAGGTTGCAGTGGGCCAAGATCGCGCAGCTGCACTCCAGCCTGGGCTACAGAGCGAGACTCCGTCTCAATAAATAAATAAATAAATAAATAAATAAGCCAAGAGTGGTGACGAGCGCCTGTGATCCCAGCTACTGGGAAGGCGGAGGCAGGAGAATTGCTTGAACTGGGAAGGCGGAAGTTACAGGTTACAGTGAGTGGAGATTGTGCCACTGCAGTCCAGCAACCTGGCCACAGAGTAAGACTCCATCTCAAAAAAAAAAAAAAAAAAAAAAAAATACGGCTGGGCACACTGGCTCACCCCAGTAATCCTAGCACTTTGGGAGGCCAAGACAGGTGGATCACTTGAAGTCAGGAGTTCGAGACCAGCCTAACCAACATGGTGAAGCCCTGTCTCTACTAAAAAATACTAACCATTCATGTCGCAAGCCTGTAATCCCAGCTACTTGGGAGGCTGAGGCAGGAGAATTGCTTGAACCCGGAGGCGGAGGCTGCAGTGAGCCAAGATCACGCCATTGTACTCCAGTCTGGGCAACAATAGCAAAACTCCATCTTAAACAAAAAATCTAGGAACTCTGACAGTAGCAAGTGTTTGTAGGCTACTGGGAATTCTGATATACTGCTGGTAAGAATGTAAACTAGAACACCTAGCTTTGGAAAGTAGTACCTACCCTAGAGAAAATCTTGCTCAAGTGTATCCAGAGACATTACAAGAATGTTCTTAGCTATAACAAAAAGCTGGAAACAGCCCAAGTGTCCATCAACAGTAGGACACTTGAGTGAATTATGTTGTACTAGACAGCAATAACACTAACAACAATGGGATACTATAAAGCAACACAAATTTACAAATTACAGTCATATGAAACAATGTGAATCTCACAAACATGATGGTAAGTATAAGAAACAAAAGACAAAAACTTATTTACTGTGTGAATTCATTTTCTAAACATTCAAAAGCAGGCAATACTAAAATATATTGTTCAGGAGAATTCCCAGGTGACAAAATTATAAAGAAAATGGAGAAGTAATTATAATTAACAAAAAGTCTGAGTAGTAATGACCTCTGAGTATAGAAGGGAATTGTAATAAGGCAGGGGGAAATGGAATGCTTCTAGAGTGTTGACACGTTCAATTTTTTTTTTTAACCTGGCTGGTGGTTACATAGCTGTTTGAATTACAATACTTTTTTTTTTTTTTTTTTTTTTTTTGAGACAGTCGCACTCTGTCGCCAGGCTGGAGTGCAGTGCAGTGGCACAATCTCGGCTCACTGCAACCTCTATCTCCTGGGTTCAAGCAATTCTCTGCCTCAGCCTCCCCAGTAGCTGGGATTACAGGCGCCCACTACCATGCCCAGCTAATTTTTTTGTATTTTTAGTAGAGATGGGGTTTCACTCTCTTGGCCAGGCTGGTATTGAACTCCTGACCTCGTGATCCACCTGCCTCAGCCTCCCAAAGTGCTGGGATTACAGGCATGAGCCACCACGCCCGGCCTGAATTAAAATTACTCTTTAAAAGAGTACAATTATGTTATTATTATTGAAATGGTCTTGCTCTGTCACCCAGGTTGGAGTCCAGTGATGCAATCATGACTCACTGCAGCCTTGACTTCCCGGCTCCAGCGATCCTCCCACCTCAGCCTCCTGGGTAGCTGGGACCGTGTAGCTGGGAACACAGGCGCAAGCCACCATGCCGGGCTAATTTTTCTAATTTTTGCAGAGATAGAGTTTCGCCATTTTGGGCAGGCTGGTCTCAAACTCCTGACCTCAAGCTATCCACCCTCTTCAGCCTCCCAAAGTGCTGGGATTACAGGGAAGAGCCACCGTGCCCAACCCCATTTATTTTTTATGCACCCTTCTGTACTAATGCTATACCTTGCTATTTTAAAAATACATAATTCAACAGAAAAAATGACAAAAGACATGGATGGGCCAGGAGCAGTGGCTCACGCCTGTAATCTCAGCACTTTGGGAGGCCGAGGTGGGTGGATGGCTTGAGGTCAGGAGTTTGAGACCAGCCTGGCCAGCATGGGAAAACCCTCTCTACTAAAAATACAAAAACTGGCTAGGTGTGTTGGCAGGCGCCTGTAATCCCAGCTACTCTGGAGGCTGAGGCAGGAGAATCGCTTGAACCCGGGAAGCGGAGGTTGCAGTGAGCCAAGATCTTGCCACTGCACTCCAGCCTTTGCAACAGAGCTATACACCATCTCAAAACAAAACAAACAAACAAAAAAAGGGCATTTCATAGAAGATTAAATAAAGGTAAACATATGAAGATACCCGACTTCAAGAATAGTCATAGAAATGCAAAGTTAAACACAGATAACATTTTACTCTATTAGATTAACCAAAATGTGAAAGTCTGACAACTTAAGTGCTCGCAAGGATATGGAGAAAAGGGAAATCTTATAGATTGCTCTCTTTCACTTTAGAAAACTGATTGGCATCACCTAGAAAGATTCAGTATGTGTACAGCTTAAGACTCAGCTATTCTGGCCGGGCGCGGTGGCTCACGCCTGTAATCCCAGCATTTTGAGAGGCCGAAGTGGGCAGGTCACCTGAGGTTGGGAGTTCAAGACCAGCCTGACCAACATGGAGAAACCCCATCTCTACTAAAAATACAAAATTAGCCAGGGGTGGTGCTACATGCCTGTAATCCCAGCTACTTGGGAGGCTGAGGCAGGAGAATTGATTGAATCTGGGAGGTGGAGGTTGCAGTGAACCCAGATTGCGCTATTGCACTCCAGCCTGGGCAACAAGAGTGAAACTCCGTCTCAAGACAAAAAAAAAAAAAAAAAAAAAGACTCAGCTATTCTATGCCTTAATGTGTAACTCATAAAAACTGTTGGCAATGAGCACAAGGCAACAGTTTGAATAATATTATAACGTGTTTATTCATAATAACTAGAAACAATTCAACTGTCTACCTAGAGTATAGTCATAAAATGGAATACTATAAAGACTTGAAAGTAAATGAATGGAATTTTTTTTAATTTTTAAATTTTTTATTATTATTTTTTTGAGACGGAGTCTCACTCTGTCCCCAGGCTGGAGCACAGTGGCGCTATCTCAGGTCATTGCAATATCCGCCTTCCAGGTTCAAGCAATTCTCCTGCCTCAGACTCCAGAGTACCTGGGACTACAGGCACGCACCACCATGCCCAGCTAATTTTTGTATTTTTAGTAGAGACGGGGTTTCACCATGTTGGCCAGGATAGTCTCGATCTCCTGACCTCGTGATCCGCTCACCTCAGCCTCCCAGTGCTGGGATTAAGGGCATGAGCCACTGTGCCCGGCCTTCTTTTTTCTAAAAGTACAAGCAGCAAGTCACAGAATACATACCATAGGATTCAACTGATGCAATTTATTCAATTTCGGGGAAAAATAGGAACCCCTCACCTAAAAATACTGTTTAGGGAAACAAACATGACTAGTAAAACTACAAAGAGAAGCAGGAGGAAACAAACACTAAATTCAGTTTAATGTTTTCTCTGAGGGTAAGCTTGGGTGATGCAATTTATGAAGGGCATCCAGGGCTTCTAAGATACTGATAATATACTCTTTCTCACTAGGAGGGGTGTGGTTTTTTTAATTTACAAGATGTAGCTGTACATCTTAGAAACTCTTTTGTATGTGTGATTTAGATTACTCTTTTAAAATATTGTTAGTTA